TTCCTTTCTTCGTATCGTGTACGAAAAAAGCAAATAGTTAATCCTAATGATCCTTTGATGCGATCTTTCGATTTCCTTAAGACTTTTTTCTATCGCGCGTGAAGTACGGTGCCCGACAAAACTTTAAAGACGAGCGACGAGTCCACCTAAACAATTTTATTACAATAATTGGTTCCGTCGGGCTCGTACGAAAGAAGACTGTTAGAAGGGTTCTTCCAAACAGTAAAAAAACGGCTAATTTCAGTTGACAAAACTTTAAAGACGACTGAAAATCACGCAGCAACGTTTACGTAATCTTTCTCGCGATAAAGTTAAAATTGTGTGGTTCAATCCGTTACGAGATTTCATTTTAGAAACTTTTGTCTGATTATAAAGTGGCAGAAAGCTTAAATTCGAGGGTAGAAGTGAGTTTTATAACAAAACTTTAAGTGTTAATAACGAGTAAAACCTTGGTTAAGTCCTATCCCGCGGGAGACACGATTCGTGACTTCCCATCCCCTCAATTTTTAACTCCTAAAATTGAATAGCATCGATGCCCCCAATATCCAAACCTCTTGGTAAAATTTCAGAAATTTTCGACGAAATACGCGAGAGTGATTAAGCCCGAAAGTGAGCGAAGAAAATCGTGTTCTCCATACAGTAAAATCCATACGTACAGGAATCCCCCCCACACGTTGCATTCCTCGACGTTTCGAGATGTCCGGAATCCAAAAATGTAAAAATCTGGTTTTTTGACCGAGAGCCATCTTTCCCTTCATTATATATATAACAGCCGAGAAAGTAAAATTGACCGTAAATAAGAGATGTAAAATCTCGCGGACCCTCCTCTTTTTTTGCATATCCTCAAAAATGCGATCCGAAATACTCGTAATAAATGTTCCGAGTGTGACGGTTAGTATAGTGTACAACGCTTTTTAGTTGCAACTTTTAAGTCTTTTACTGAACTGTATCGTTTGCTGTCAGCATATACAGTCCTTGACAGCGCACCCCAGCTTATCTGCACGGCGGTGAACGATCTAAGGATGCGCTATGCGGAAGCGAATTTAGTAGCCTGCGATATAGTTCTCGTCGAGGAAAACCATGCACGAGCGAGAAACGAGAAATCTCGCCGGCCGGAGGGAAATTTTTGACACGCGTATCTGACGGGGTTTGATATTTATCGCGATGAATACTGCGCCACGACTTCTCGAATCTTTGGTCTTCTGTATACAGTAGACCCCCCTATAAAATGGGTTCCTATAATTACGATTCCTATAAAACTGCGAAAAAATTCCGACAGTATCCGTAAAAAACGGTAAAAAAAACTCCTATAATTACGTAAAACGTCATCGGGCACGTATTTTCCGCCGTCAAGTGCCACGCTACAGAGAGATTACTATCGTCTGGACAGTATTATATATAAATTATATATAAATTAGGTACTGTACATATAATTATATATTCATTATATATAAATTAGATACTGTATATATAATTATATATTAACTTAATTTATTGTAACTTTATTATAATTATATATATATTTTCCGCCGCGTAGCGCCACCCTACGGAGAGTTTAGGCTAACTATCGTCTGTACAGTATGTAAATTAGGTACCGTAAGTCTAATACAGTACTGTAATTTTATACATTTCTTGTGAAAGAACATTTCTTATTCAATGGCGATTAAAATTATTTATATTAATGATGTCTCCAAAGTTCAGCGAATTTTTCGCAGGAAAATAAGTTATTAGAAATCGGTCGCGGTTTGCTGAGCTGTTCCGCGACGAAAACAAGCTTGAGCAATGGCGATGTCGAATGGTGTACACTCGGTAAGTAATCCTACAATTTTTTGTTTATAGCGTTGGTTATACGGATTATTCCCCAAAAAATATACGTACAATTATTACAAACAATTATTTTAATTTGTTTGTAATCTTTTTGTAAACTAATCGATGTTGAGTCGGATTAGTCTAGAATCGATTAATTTTATGGAAGAAAACCTTTCAATCAGCCGTAGTCCATAAACTTCACACGTGTCGGGCTGTGATTGGAACGACTCGTAAGAAATCGGATTCCTAAAAAATGAAACGTATCTATGATCTTATAGGTGGGTCGACTTGTATATTTGTTTTTTCTAACTACAGATATACTTAAAGTCATATAAAAAGTCTGTTTTATTAACGGATTATAATAAAGTCTTTATCCTTTCGCTGTTTCCAGAGAGGAGGAACTCCGTGTTTTTGTTTCTCCTTTTTATGTGTTCCTTACGAAGTAATTCTATAACGAAAATTTTTCCTGGCAAGTAGTAAGCGTAGTAGAACCAGTTTGATACTTCCTTACCGTGCAATAATTCAGGCTTCCCTGCGACGAGTTCGACGCCAACGCGCGACGTCGTCGTCTCTGCGCCAATTTTGCTCGCGTCGGCGTAAGGGTGCGACTATGCAGACACGAATTTAGAGCGAGCGAGAGGTTGCGAGCGATTTAATTTTCTCAAAGGAAAACCATGCACAAACGAGAAGCGAGAAATAACGCTGGAGAGAGCGAATTTCTGATTCTCGCACATATCTGACAGGTTTTGATATTTATCGCGTCTCGCCTCTTCTCGCCACATATTCTCGCTTGCTCGGAAAATTCGCTCGCTCGCGTCTGCATAGTCGCACCCTAATCATATTATACTTAACGAGAGCGAGAAAGGTCGTCGCCTATTCTCGCTAGCTCTCAAATTTGCTGGCTGACGTCACCCCGACGGTTTGACTTTTTCTGACGAATAGACGGGTACATCGTCTGGCATAAAAAATATAATTTTCTGTAAAATATTTTCGATCGGCTCCCGATAATTTTTCGAATCCATTCGTCCATTTATGCAATAGGTGAGTTTACCTGGCAAGAAATGACATTCCACACCGTAACGGAACCACCAACCATCTGTCGTAGAGATAAAATCCTCTGTTCCTTGCGCAAAACATGAAAATAATGATTCGGACCGTCGGGACCGAACTATTATTTTCATTAGAAAAAATACCCCGTTACCGATCTGCATCCCAGGCGCGCGTAAGACATTCTTCCGGTTTTACCTTCGTCGGATAGGTAATGATTTTATCATTCTCAACAGTACCGGGACAAGCCTTTATTTAATTTACTCTAATTGGTTGGCAATTTTCGATGCGGACGTCGCACCGTTGTTCGCAACCCTCGAAATTCGCCTCTTGTCTCTCGCACTCAATTTAGTAAGTTTTTCACCGTAGTTTTTTGAGTTGTATTTATCATTTTTTTTAATATAACTGTACGTAACAGCGCGACTCCTTCCCATTTGGACAGCTACGGCGCCATCATAAAATGTCAATTTGTCCATATTCTTTCTCTGTCAGATCAATCCCTTTTCCCATTTTAACAAATTTTATCGTAAATAAATATATGCAGGCCAGCAACGAGCAATTATTTATTGTGACGCGATCACCGTGCCGGGCTACAATTTTTAATCATATTTTTAATTTATTCAACTTAAAGTATATACTCTCTACCTCGAATTAGTACTGTAATATTTCGCTCCGTACGTCATACTTTTCTTTGAACAATAGAGTCGTGCCAGTCGTCTATTAACTGCTTTCGGGGGACGTTTCGAACCGAAATAATGCGACTTCCGGTTTGCATCGGACGTTCGTTTACAGTTAATCGGGGCCTCCCACTTCTAAGCTTTCCGCGACTGGTCTCGACTTTGGTCTATCTAACTCCGTTCTCGAGATTAAGGAAAGACAGACGGACGGACGGACGACAGTAAGGAATTTATAGATCTACAAATTTCCAAATTGCAGCCCAATCACTTTACGCAAGCGCGCATCCTTAATTATTTACATTTATGTAAACATTTGCGGTCGTATTTTCGGTGGTGTTTAAAGTTTCGTCGACTTAAATTAGCCTTTCGGTAGTTTCGCTATTGAACTTTTTTAAAGAATACGATCCCGACAAAACGAATAATTCGAATAAAATTGTTTAGGTGGACTCGTTGCCCGTCCGCCAAGTTTCGTCCGGCACCGCACGCGCCAGTCGTTTTAAACGCTCGGAGGCCCCAGACCCACCACACGGATACAAACGTAGAAGAAAAACGTAAGTAACGAGCAGCCGGCCGAACGAATATTTATTTAACTAGGTGGCACTAAGTTTATTTATGCGAACTTTTAATTTAACGGTAGAAAGTTATATTCCAATCGTTTCGTGGTCGTATTTTCCCCGACGTTTAGCCACGGTTTTATCCAAAAAGTCGGCAGATTTGTGAAAAAATCGAACATTTTCCTATCTGTAGGAAAACGGACAGCCGATAAGGACGGAGATTGTCCCTTCCGGTCCGATCGGCTAAATTCGGGAAAAACGAACGAGCCGAAGAAGCGTAAAACTGCAGCCGTGCGGGTCGCGGGTGGTCGCTCGTAGTGGGAAGCGGACAATCGTTTTCACCTTCTCTCTTTCGGAAGAAATCGCGCCCCTCGACCAACGATAAAGGCAAACGACCGAAGATCCTTTTTTAGTCGAAGAGCGAAAAGAGACGTCCGAAGTTGTTACACTTTTTCGCTCTTCGCCCGATTTGCCTCGTTCCCGTCGTCGGTTGGGACGGGTGTCGTCTTCGACCGGCCGACTCTGGTTTAAATTCTGGTCGACGCGCGTCCCATTGGTCTAAAAAAGCCCTTCCGGCGCGCCGCCTCCCGTAAATTACCCCGACGACTTCTCCTCCGTGGGCCAGCCGCCGTTTTTCCGGTAGCGCCCGACGAAACCGGTTACGTCGCGTCGCTACGTCGCGGCCTCTACCCGGAGCGGAGGTCGCGCCCCTAACGTACGCCGGCTTCCAGTTTCGGCGTCCGTTGGAGCCCGGAGAGGCGTCCTCCCGCCATTGGCGGATCCGGTCACGTGGTGGCCGGCGGCCACCGTTTCAACGGTCGTCGGCGGTACGGAGCTCGCGCGCGGTGGTCTGGCGCTGTCCCCTCGTCCCTTTAAAAGGACCTCAGGTGAGCCCTTTCTCTCTTTCTTCGGACTTTCTCCCCAGCGCACTTTCCCCGCTCCCTTCCCCCCGAAGGAAGCCGGGTCGACGGGAGCTTTCCTTCGCCTTTCGTTAAACTCGGGTGGAAGAGTCGGGAAAGTCACGGACACCCGTTTTTAAATCCGGCGGTTCTTTCTCTCCCTTCGCGTCGCCCGCCCGGGGTCACCGGAACCGAAACTCCGGCTTTTCGACCCGACCGTCGACGTACCTCCGCGCGCCGTTCCCGTTTTACGCGCAAAATGATACGTTTATCAAACGCGACGCGTCGGATCCTAGAACCGGAAACGATTCTCCGTTTCGCGGACTCGTATCCGGCGCGTTCGATTCGTCGTCCGCCAGTCTCGGAGTCGGTTAATTTCATCAAATCCTTGGTCGCACCGCCCGATAACGTTCTTTAGGATCGCTACCGGAAGAGGTAAACTCTAAACTTCCGGCGGCGGGTTCCTTTCTCCACTTTTCTCCTTTTAGAATAAAACGGGAAATTTCTTTTGCAGATCGACGGAAGAATGAAAGATTTCGGGCGGAAAGGATCGGACGCCGGCCGGAGGACGAGCGCGTGGTAGGAAGACCCGGCAGCGCCTCGGCCGAGATGTCGAGCAGCGTCAGTCTGGAGGCTTCGGTCTCGCCCACTCCCCCCTCGCACAAGATGAACGGAGGTCTCCCGCATCGATCCGACCTGAACGTCGGGTCTCTGGGCGCCTCCAAGTACAGCCTGGGCACCGGCACTTTCGACGCCGGGCCCCCTCACGACGGCTCCTGCCGTCCCCTGCTGGACCTGTCCGTGGCCGGGCTTTATCCCCCTCGCTGGACCGGAGGAAGACCGGGATCGGGCGGCCGACCCGAATCCGAGGAGGAGGAGGAACGGGGCGTGTACCGGACTCTGGCCTCGCTGGCCCTGCTGTGTCTGCTGTCTCTGCCCCTGTCTTTCCTGGCCCTCTTCTTCCTGCAGAGGGCCGGCCCGGCCCCTTCCCCGGACGGCGAGGAAGCCACCGTTTCGGGCCGTGACGGCGCCACCGTCCACCAGGTGTCGGTGGCCCTGGGTACCCTGACCGTGTGCCTGGATCTGTGTTGCCTCTTCGTCTGCTGCCTGCAGTTCCTCTTCGCTCTCAAACTGCTGCAGACTCCGCGCGGAGTGGACAGGTGAGTAAACTTCTCCGCTACCTCTTTCCTACCCACGTTCCGAGATCCGTCCCTTCCCTCGGGACGAAAGACAAAACGCTCTTTCGTTTACGGAACCCGGTGTCGGTTGGGGCGAAAGTTTGCTTTTTCTTTCTGGCCCGGAAGCGGAAGGGCGCGAGAGGCGTTTACAAATTTACGCGTCGGAATACGGACGCCAATTTCTCCCGTCGTCGTCCGGTTCCGTAATTTTCGATGTCGGTTGAACGGTTTCCGTATTTTCCGCCGATAATGCCGAGGGTCGTAGTGTCTTCTCCCGTTTCCGTTTCTAACGTAAGACGTCGATCCCGTCGATTTTCGGTCGGCGGTGTTCTTGGAATTTTCGTGCTCGAAACGCGGAATGGCGCGTGGATTCGGGCCTTTTTATGTTTTTTTTCGGCTAATCGGTGATTTTCTTCCGCAGGACGGACAGGTTCCTGAAGAGAAGTTCCCACACCCGTCTGCTGGCCATCGGAGGCTTCTTCTTATCCATTCCCCTCTTCTTCACCGGTAAGTCGTCCCCGCCGCCTCCTTTTTAAAAATTTCTCCGCTAGTTAGGCCCTTTATATCGGTTCCTTTACGGCGGTTCTGATTCCGTCCGAGGCGAAACGAAAAAGGATTCTTTTAATTCCTCCTTTTTGAGGAAACGTCTTCTACGAACCCAACGCGCTGGTACTCCACCCCGGTTAACTCTAACCAGTAAGTTAATTGTATTGTTTAGCGCAGTTATAGACCTTATTTTTACGGCAAAGAATAACTTCTCGCTGTCGATGTCGACGCCGGTTCTCGCGTTACGTTCACGTAATTACGTCCGACCCGTCTTTTCTAAAACCGAGAAGGTTTACGAATTTACGTAAGATTCCTCCGCCTCCGTCTTAGATTTAAATTCCATTTGTTTCGAACGGATTTAAAAAGTTTCCGACGTCTAAACTCGGAAATATACAGAGTACGGATATCCGCCAAAGTCCGTCGCTACTTTTAATGGCAGCTACGGGAATAGTAAAGGAACGGGTGACTTGGCCGCTGGTTTTAAAAGTTCTGAGACGAGTTATAGATTCGAAAAAAGAAACGGAAGAAGAACGGCATAGAATGTGGCGGTTTCCGTACCTAAGAAAAGTCTATAATGGCATTAAGCGTAGAGTAGGCTTCCTCTTTCTTCTTTGGCTTCTTTCTCCCACGCTAAAGGCGAAGGGAAATCTTTAATCCTCTCGCCTCTATTTAATAAATTAATTTTAAGCGACGATAAATGGATTTACTGGCGCGTCGTCACCGTTTCTTTACGTTTTAAATGGCCGGCCACCCGTGCCGGGTAATTACCCTAATCTTTAGGGGTTTTTTTACTGTCGTAACCAACGTCTTACTTCCAAAAATATCGTTTACCGTTACGACGTAATTTAGATTTCGAAGGAATATAAATCGATTTCCTTTGCCGAAATATAAATTAAATCGAAAATATTTATATCTTACGTCTGCTGCTATTTGGAAACGGTTACGTACCGTACCACCGTAAATACTATAAAATAGAAGATAGACTTAATTTTAACCGGTAATTATATATCGCGACGTAGTCACGACGCCGGACTGCAATTTTTAATCCTAGTTTTCATTTATTTAATTTAAAGTATGTGCTCTCCACCTCAAATTAGTAGTGGCTGTACATTATACTTGTCCCATTAGCGATAGAGTCGTGACGGTCGTCTATCTAGCACCTTTCGGGGAAAATTTCTTAATTGAAATAACTTGGCTTCCGGTTTGCATCGGAAATTCGTATATAGTTAATCGGGGCCTCCCGCCCCTAAGCTTTCCGTATCTGGTCTCGACTTTCGTCTATCTAACTCCGTTCTCTAGATTAAGAAAAAACGGACGGACGGACGACAGTAGGAATTTATAAGTCTACAATTTTTTTCAAATTGCAGCCCACAAAGTAGGGCCTACTAAAAGTGCGTTCGATATTTAAATCGTGGCGGCCGTACTTACGCGCGGTCGGAGTTTCGCTGGAACGAAAGGAGACCCCGATTTAACGTTGTCTTTCTCGTTGCAGGCATCATCCTGTTCGGCTTCGTCCACTTCCAGGAGCTACCGGCGGCGGTGACGGGAGCGGCGGTGGGAGCGGGCATCGTCTTCTGCGGGGTGGCCTCGGTTCACGACGTGTATCTGTGGCAGGGACACAAGACCGACGCCAGTCGAGCCCTGATCGAGAGTAGATTGAGTCGAATCAGAGAAGCCAGTCTCCCTCCCGATTCGGGCCCGCACGTGGCCGAACTCTCCACTCTGGTCTGAACCGGCGTCGGAGGACGGAAAGACGTTTTAGTGACATTTGTAAATAGTCGTCGAATAAAACCTTGTAAATTTTGTCATTTTTCAATTCTGAAATTAAAAGTTCCTTATTGACGCGTCTATACTCCGGAAACGAATCCTTTTTCCTTCGTCTTTTAACGCTTTAAGTGACCTTCCTAAATCGCTGCGAGAATCTCGCGGTTTTGCGCGGCCGTTTTGCCCAGGGTAAATTCTGCCCACGGCAAATCCTGGACGAAGTTGAAGCGAACACCGTAAAACATTTGGAATGGGAGACGAGAGTTCGAACGTCCGAAAATTCGGAAAAATTAGCCACTCGGACGTTTTCGAAATGATTCTGCTTTGATGAAAAATTTGCCATTTCGACAGAGTTTGCCAATTACAATATAGTGAAAGTTTATAAAATTGGTTTTAGTCGTAACCTTAATAACAAAGCTTCGATAGGCCGACTTCTATGCATAACTACAGAAAATTGCGTTTCGATCTTGTAATTAAGGGACGACGAAAACCAATTTTAAGGCGATTTATTCTCTTTTTGACTCTGAAGTCGTCCGTAAATGAAATCGCGCTAAAATTCCACATTTTAAAACATACTACGTCAACTATGTAACGGATATTAACACGAAGTAATTCCAAATTCAAAAATTGTATCTCCCAGTGCACGGAGTTAAATGGATTCGGAAAACGTCCAGTGCCGATTCTCTATATTTTCTTTTTCTTTGGTAATGTTCTGAAAATAAACTTTGAATTTTTCAAAAAATTCAGTAAACATTTGTAACGAGTCACACAATAAATAATTGTTTAATCATTACAATACCCTGCATTTGGCTCCCTCCCGCACCCCGTTAGTTATTGAAGTTATTGGGCTAAAATTTGAAAAAAAAAAATATATAGACCTATAAATCGAGGGCGTACCCAGCGAGGGGCAGCCCCTAGAAGAAAAATTAAAGTGTAGTAATTGACACACAACACATACGTATCAATTTAGTATCAGTTTGAATAATGAATATTGTGACTAGCCTAGAGCCATCTGTCGCGAAATTCTAGAACTTTTTCGCTGTTCGCTTTTATTCTTGCATTCGAAGAAACTATGAGTTGCCCCCCTCTAGTTCAGAAGTATACAATTTTAAACAAGTGGCGAAAACGTTCCAAAACTTACAAAAGAAGAAATGTCCTGGGTGATTTCGAACTTTAAGAACGGGAAAGCCCAGGTAATGCAGGTTGCGGCCGAAGTTCAAACGTTAAACTTGTACGGCAAGCAGAAGTTCACGTTTGACGTTTAAACTCCAAAATACTTTGCGGTTCACGTTCACAGCAATATCTCATGAGTCAGTGCGCGACGTGAACATCTCGCACTGACTCGTGGGATATTGTTGAAAAATGGCGGAAACGTTTAATAACGACGAATGTTGCCAGCCAAGGTAAATAAACAAATTAAACTATTTTAAAGTATTTATAGGGTGTTTAATATTTATTTATTTATTTATTTAATTAGACATACTAGGCAGATAGGGTGTTTAATAACACTAAATAATTATTTTTAATCAGCGTCGTGTCTCCTACCATACGATAGGACGATAGGACTACTTCACACTTTGGTCGAGGGAAGTAGTGGCTTATGTAAATCCGAAAGCAGCTCGGGAAATTACTTTTAAAAAATTTACAAATCTATTATGCCGTTGATAATAGAAGATGCCGTGAAAGAACAAACCTACTTCTATAGAATTATAAGCTATTATGAAGACAAATACTGTAAATGTGAATTCTATAGGCACCTCGCATCACTTGCAAAAAACTTGATTAATTAAATAATTTCTGTATTAAAATCGTCTGTTTCTTTATAATGTTATTCGTAAATGTTTAAATAATCATTATTTTAATAAAATACGTCATAATTTAAACCCCAAACACAAGAAAATGAAGAAGTTTAAACCTATCTTCTACTCGCCATGCTAGACGTAGCGAACGCCATTATCAACCTTCTAGAATTGCCAAGTGGCGGCCCTCGACGTCCGACGTTCACGTTTTTGACTGAAAACGACGGCCGCAAACTTTCTACTGACCTGATAAAAATGACGGCCGGATGGCCGAGCGGTCAAGGTGGCAGCCTACCGCTCTGGGGGACCCGGGATCGAATCCGGAGGGGTCGAAAAATCTTCAGGAATTTTATCGGGGAGTGGTCCGTTCGGATATGTCGGGCCCCGTCCCTCACCACCCGGCCTCCCCCATTGTGGGCCTGGCCGAACCCATAATGGGCTTGCTAAAAAGAAACCCTCTTAGTGCTCACCGGGCGGAAAGAGTTTTAAAATAAAAAGACCTGATAACACTGGAAATGGAAGCACAATTAAACCAAACAGATCCAGAGCTTCTGTTTGAGCTATATAATGCTTGTCTGAAGTACGCCATATTCCCAGCCGCATGGAAGGTGGCAAAAATACTACCTATTTATAAAGATTTTATAAAAGAAAGAACAAGGATAAGAGTGAAGAGCTATAGCAATCTCTCTCCTCCCCGTTATGGGGAAAGTGTTGGACAAGTTGATGGTCTATCGATTGACTACTTGAATGAACTCAAAAAATTGGTTTAATAAAAATCAGTTCGGTTTTCAAAAGGGCCGATCAGCAGAGGACGCTTTTAAAAGCCGAAGTAAAAATAATTGAAAGCTGAGTAAAAGTAATTAATGATATAGAAGAAGGAAAGAAGAGAAATGGTTAGTCGGTTGCCCTTAGCCTCGACATCCAGAGGTCGTTCGACAATACTTGCTCCTATATGCGAGGCTGGAGGAGACAAATTGCCCAAATAATCTCTATTGCTTGATATGCGATTACCTAACGAACAGAAGGGCATTTATTGAGTACGCTGATATAAAAAGATGTCAATGGGATGCCCACAAGGCTCCTGTTCAGGACCTGTCTTTTGGTCCTTTATCTTGAATGATCTTTTGGAGAGTAAGGTCCACCATTACACTCTGTGTGATGGTGGACCTTACTCTCGGATCTTACTTTGTTTGATTTCTAAAACAAAGAAATCAAACAAAGAAGAGGTATAAGGAGTATCTTAAAAGGAAATAAAATGGATGAATTACTGAATCGTGATGAATTGGAGAGAGAGATGAAACGGTATCAAAAACTGCGAAGATATGAGGGGGAGAAAATGGACATAAAGGAATATAGTCATGAGGACAAGAATAGGATCTACACTCATGGATGAAGAAGCTCTGAAGGAGTTGAAGCATCATATGTGTACTACTGCAGGACTAAGGAACAATATAATAGAAAAATCAAATTAAATAGGAGGTGCAGTAACTTCCAGGCGGAGTTGGTGGCAATAAACCAAGCAGTAGTGTGGATTAGTAAAAGAAGAAAAATATGGAGATCACTATCTGTACGGACAGTGAGGCAGTGCTTAAAGCATTAAGACCGAAATAAAGAATAGATATATTATAACATGACAAAGAAGATCGGAACAGTCCACAAAAGGAAGAGAGCTGTTTGATTATTTACCGGATGTCAACCAACGATTGAATAATAAACACTTAATTATAAACTATAAATAAACAAGATTTATGACTGGACATGGCGATTTCGCCGACTATAATAATAGATTCAGACACGGTAGTGACGGCAACTGCGAGTTCTGCCGCTACAGGGAAACACCCACACACATACTGTACGAATGCATGTGATATGAACAATTGAGAAATGAAGTATGGATGATTGGCATTAAGGAAGGTTACACATGGCCAATAAGTAAAAGTAGCCTCATAAGAAATGCCAGTTTATATAAATACTTTAGTGAATTTATTAGGAACTGCTATAAAAATAGAATATAATGATTAAATATATTGTTTAGTGTAATTGTACTAATGTACTGTACTTAAATTTTATAATGCAAAAACGGAAAATTAATTAAGATTGTCGGGAAAACTTTGTGCTGCGGTAATGAGCGCGATTTATAACGATAAAATTCCTCGCAAAGCAAACGCGAAGCGGGAGACAAGAAAATGGAACGCCTGAATTCTGGTTACACAAGAAGTGCTTCGGGTAGAGAGAAGCTCCGACAGATGGAAAAAAAAGTAGCAGTCTACCTCTCTCAGCGGCAAGTGATGGTTTAAATAATTGTTGTATTATATTTATTTAAAAATAACATTTCTGTATTTATTAATCCAATGAATTAACAGTTTTGCTTATTATTCCCAACGTTATGTATTTACTATTTTTCTTACCATGTAATTGTTTTGGGGTTGGTCTTTAGCACACAGCGTATTAATGGTCTTAAAATATTGCCAAAATGTCGTTGTCTTTCGCCGAAGTGAAAGGACTCGTCGCCGATTAATTAAATTCGACTCTCGCCATCGGCATTGAAATTATACTTTCGGAGCAACGGTGGTCCGACTTTTCCGGGCCATTTGTAATAAAATCGATCTAAGATAAAAATGTGCGAAGTGTATGTGATTTTTTTTATTTCAATTTAATTTAATTTAAAACAACAATTTACGCAACTTTGGAGAATATCTTTAAAATAACCTTCTATTTTTTATATGTAGCGACGTACTTTTTAATGGGCAGACTTCCAAGCGGTTGCCAAACAATTTTCTAATCTTAGTTGTGCTTTGACGTACGGTATTGCGTTAAGTTCTGGCTTATTTAATACCATGAGCATGCGCGCGTCAATATTTTCGAGAAGTAATAGAGTTTTCAATTCTGTGAAAATTAAATTCATTCTATGAAACCTCTTTCACATTCGGTTGCGCTCATTGGCGATGTTTCAACATCCGTTTTTAGCTTTCGTACCATCTCACCATATAAAATCTATCGTCGGCCGGATGATCGAACGGTTAAGGTATTGGCCTACGGCTCTGGGGAACCCGAGATCGGATGATCCGGTAGGCCTACAAACCCCAAGAAGTTTTCGGGAGATGATTCTCCCGACTACGTCAGGGTCCGTCTTTCACCGTAAGGCCATTTCACTGTGGGCGTGATAAAAGGCCCTCTTAGTATCCACAATACGGAGTGTTCATCAGTGGCCGAGCAGAAGAAAACCAACGAACACTGGTAATTGGTTCGCGCCTCATCAGTGGATTGGCCACGTGGTTTTCCACATTTTCTTCAAGTTACACCTAGATAGTAGCCAGGTGGTGGCCGAAATTTTGGTCTGTAAAACTTCGGCCACAATCTCGCTAGTGTCTACTATCCACAGAAATTCCTCGGGGTAGGCATTCCCTCTCGGCAGATCGCCCACGTATCGGAGTTGCCGTAACCAAATAAATAAATAAACCGAAACCCACAGAATAATAATAATCATATCACCATATACTTTGATGAAGATGGACAATCAGAAGAATCTAAGAATATATTTCGGTTGTTTTATGTTACAATTAGAGATTTATTTTGTAATATTCCTTCCTAACATCGAGAGTGTGACGGCCGGATGGCCGAGCCGTCAAGGTGGCAGCCTATCAAGGTGGAAACCCGGGAGTAAGTCCGGACGGGCAGAAAAATCCCCAGAAATTTTTCGGGGGTGGTCCGTCGGAATATGTCGGGTCCCGTCCCTCTCCACCCGGCCGTCCCATTGTGAGCCTAGCCGAACCCATAATGGGCTTGCTAAAAGTGGTACTCTTAGTGCCCACACGACGGAAAAAGTAAAAAAAAATATCGAAAGTGTTCTTTAACAGCAAATAAATTGTGCTAAGACCATTTAAGTCTATAAAGATTTTCAGAGAAGAGTGAAGAAGGAAGTGGTATGTGTTGTGCGAGATTTGGATTTATTGTAGCAATTTTTAACTAAGCCCATCAAAGCAGATTTTGTCATTGATTTTTCTTTCTTTTGTTATTCACGATTTCAGTATTAATTCTCAGTAGTTTAATGCTGAAATTATTTCTTCGAAAGTAATTCTTTTCGGTTTAAACATTCTAGTTCAACGCTCGAATTACCGAGCGGCTAAGGTAAAGCATACAGCTCTAGGGATCCGTGATCGCATCTTAACGTGTCGAAAAACTTCAGGAATATTTCTGATGGTGGTCCATCCGGATATGTCGGCTCCGTTCCTCATCACTCACCTTTCTTCATTGTGAGTCTGGACGAACTTGTGATAGACACGGGACAGAAAACTCCTTAGTGCCCGCAAAGCGGAAAAGACAAATAAAAAAAGAAATAATCTCAGCCATCCGGCCGCTAGGCGAACGGGGTATAAGGCTATAGTCTAGTAGTGTTACAGAGTATACTACAGTACGTATATTTTAATATATATTTTTAAAAGAAACAAAACCACTGAGATATGTTACGTATGTTTAACAAGGTTCGAAAAACTTTGAAAATGTTAACAACGGGTTCGGCCGAACCTGCGCGAACCCGCTGAATATCACCATGATAGAAAGTGAACTATTAACAAGTTGTCGGTTGAGGAAATTATTAAAGATTTTGCGCGCAAAAGTGTGGAAAAATCTTCATAAAATAAATTGTTAAGCAAAAATTTAATGTTTTATTTTAATTCTCTTAATTTATATTTTCTCAATTTTTAATTTCGTAGGTCCAAGACACCGTGCCTAATAGATAAAACAGCACCGGAAAAAGCGTCGGCCTTTATCATTTCGGGGGATTACCGATCCGGGATTTCATAGGCCGCCGGTGCCGGATACGTCGGGCTCCATCATCCGGATGTCCCACTGTAGGCCAGGAGATATGAACGACGAGTTTTATTAAAATGCCTGCGTAATGCCTACGGGGCGAAAAATTTAAGACTAAAAAAGTTTTTAATTAAGCATCATTCATTGTTCGAAATTTTAAAGAATATTTCGTTCCTGTTAATTCGATCGATTTCCAGACATAGGCAAACGGATACGCCTACGGGCCGACATACGATCCAATTTACCACAGAGTAGGCTAAGTCGAATCGCGAGGCGGAACCTTCTTTCCATTACTTTCGAAAAATTACGAAAATCCGAAAGGAATTCGAACACGACGTGGAGTCATCGCGGTCATCTCTTCGACGAAGTTCCGACGTGGAATCTGTGGCGATTCTCAAATTATATAAGAAAAAGTTCGATTAAATGAATTTATAGCAAAATACATAAAAGAATACCCTATAATACCGAAAAGAATTTACGAGAGCGTAAACGTAGTTTCAGTTTCGGTTTCGATTTGTATAATTTAGGACGACTTCGCACTCGACTGTACTTTTTATTTCCGTTACCTTAAATTTTGTGTCGAGAAAAAATTATTTAAATCTCGTGGGAAATAAACCGTATTTCAAAACTGTTTTATAGTAGACTCCGAATAAGTCGAACTTCCTTAACTCGAATTTTATTTTCGTCCCGACTTCTCTCTCGCAGACTCTACTCGTGGGTCGCTTCTATGAGGGAAAGCAGCTTGAAAATTTAAATTCCGGGGGCTATTTCCCGTCTAATTTCCTGCCCTTCCTTTCGTTTTAGTCGTCCAGGAGACGGACGAGTCTAAGATGGGCAGTTATATTAGAGTCTAGGTATATTTATTTGCGCGGCGATAGACGTATCTCGTTAAAACCATAGCTTGCGTAACTGGAAAATTTTTCCGTCCTTTCCGCTCTGAATGGTAGAAATTATTCGAAACCGAAACAAAAACGTCACTTATATCCCGGGAAATCCCACGGTTTCCCGGGGAATTTTCCTTCCAGTATATAAAGCGGCAGGTGGCGCTATTTTCGACCTCGAAAACGTCGGACCGACAGGAAGTAAACAGAGTCGGTCGGTGGCCAGCGGCATCGACAGAAAAGTAAGTTAAACGGTTTCTGGAAAAGGATTTCGAAAGGTGGCGAGCGGATGGAATCGGGCTTCTCGTCCTTTTCGACGTCCTTGGCCGCCGGTCTCTGTTTCCGGGCGGAGAGCGGTCCGTTGGACGAATCTCCGTCCCGGCTTCGACGAACCGTTCCATCGCTCGACGCAACCGCGTTCTAGATTTTCCAGTTCGGTTACGGTTATCGAACGACCTCGGGCTAACCTTTACCTCGCTCTTTAACCATTCCCAAAGACTCTAAACGTCCCGATGCTTTCCGTCTGTACGTGTTCTTCGCTCTCCGTTTCCGCCTCCGCCTCGTTGGCGGAAAATCTTTCGTCGACCCAACCTATTTGCTCCGCATTCGTTCGGGAATTGCCCCGAACAGTTTACGTAGACGAGGGAATCGACCCGGATTTTAAAGAACGTCCTCTAACGGGTCGCGAGAAAAGATTTTATTTTCCACCGTTTCCGTTTGTATTCTCCCGCCGTTCCCGATTCGGACTGGTCCGTTTCTCCGCCGTCGCCGCGCTCTTGGAAGAGGAAGCCCTCCTCCGTTCCGTCGAGGACTCGGGACGGGATCCATCCTTTGGACTCCAGAGGAGCGGAGAGCTGGCCGCCTCCGCTCCTCCGGATCGTGCTGTGGTCGCGGGCCGGCCGTTGACGGCCCATTACGGTTGTCGGAGAGAGCGCAGATCTTTCGAATGGCTTAAATAAAAAGAAATAAAGTGGCAGATTTTGACAAACTTTAAATGTTTTAGAACCGTCTAAGGCTATTTTAATGCTTGAATACGAAGTGTTATTCGACAAATACCGGTGGAACGGGGAAAGATTTTTTTCTCGGCCGGGCCTTTTTGGTGCTCCGTGCGGTGACGGTTGTCTCTATGCCGGTGAAATGTCGAAAACAACTGTGACTTTCGAAATGATTTTTGGCCGGATGTGGTGCGACCCTTCGAAATTTCCTTCCCGTAGTGCTGAATAATTTGCAAAAGCTAATGCAAATTATTAAAGTAAAAAATTGAAGTGTAATCTAAAACTGTTTTCTCTTTTTAAAAGATACTTTGTATATAATACCAATATTTAAGGAAAAAAGCTACAATAATTCTACTTTTAGAATTAGCGTATTGTTTGCATGTAAGTAGGCTACAAAAAGAAATGGCTTATTCTAATAATATAAAAATTCTTTCTGGCAAATAGTCTTTTGGATTTCGAATAAGTTCTTGGTCCGGAGGATACGTTTTTATTGGAGCCGGTGAACGGACTCTCTGGAACGTCGGTCTGTCGAACGAAAGGAGAAGAATTGTCTTTGTTCTGATAGATGTGGCGTAATAAATGATTCTACCGATTATTAAAGAAGGAAGAGTTATCTTGACGAACTCGCATTCGAGGAAGTTCGTCTTCGATCTGGATAGTCGAATGCTTTGGGCCCAAAAATGTTTGATTATATATGTAATTCCTTTATACGATTGGTTTTGTACCTTTTGTTTTTCTAATGTTAAAATTTTTTTTGAAATATCAAAACAGATAGTGAATGGTATAAAAATTTAATTAAAATAAGTTCTGCAGAACTTTACACTATAGTAATTTATTACAGTTATAACAGTTAATACAACAATATTGTATTAACTGTTATAAAATAATCATTAACTTGATATTTTTGTAAAAGAATCATTCATTTGTCATTTTGGATAAACAACTATTTAAAATTTCATTCCTTAAAAATACATTTTGTAATGTTATATGATTTTACTTCTTTTAAAAGATGTCACTCGTCATAAATTATTATACGGATATATTTTAATCTTATATATATACTGTACGCCGATTTATTGACAACTTGATATTTTTGTATGAATATTACATTTATATTTCAAAATAGTGAGATTTTATATTCTAGTGTTCCACAATCGGTATGCCGCGGCACACTGGTGTGCCGTCACATGGTAAAGGATGTGACGTGAACTTTTACATATTCTGTTAATTTCAAGTTTTATTTATATATTTTTATCACAGTTGTTGTGTTTCTTATGCTTGTATTTCATTCTCTGCCGCAGCATTGATAAAACAAGATAATGTTTGTTTATTCTTTATTACAATCCATGCATTTTTATGTATTCTAAGAAATTATATGTAAAATAAATTTGCTCACAGGTGTTGATTCTGTTTAATAACAACAATAATAAGTTAGTAACATTACATAATTCTATTAATAGTATCATATCATATGTGATTGAGGGGAATAACATTTTGGTGTGCTGTGTTGAGTCATGGGTGTGCCACAAGTAGAAAAAGGTTGCATATCACTGTTATATTCAATGGAGTAACGATGGTGAATCGATAGCGAAATGTGAAATATTTAGTCTGTAAAAATACTTTAAATTTCCGTATTCCTTAGATTGAAAAGGTTATTTTTGACAATGAATTAAGTTTATAATGAATTACTTGTTGTGCCAAAAATGTTTGGAACAGAAAATAAATTTGTAACATCATGGCCATTCTATATTTATCTTTTATGTATATATAAGTTGTTTTAAAATAGATTATTAATTTATATTTACTTTAAAAAAGCCTTTGGACTTATAAATTAGAGAATAGTATTGTAATTTTTCATAAATTTGATGCAGTTATTAATGAAATTTTTTATATTTTAAATATAGACTATTCTAAAACTAATTTTGCATTTTAGTGAGATCTGCATACATTTGAGATTATCTTGCAATTTATAAACTAAATGTGATAACTGGAAATGTTAGTTTGACATGTTTACATTTGAAGTTGTTATAGAACTTTTGCTTCTGCAATATTCTTTTTGAAATATTTACAAAATGTTTGTGATGTATAGAAGAAAAATGCACCATCTCTTGGCATTATGCTTATTTATTTATGAGTAGAAAAACAAATGTAAGTACTTTGATTTATCGTTGTCTTTGAGTAAAAATTCTATTTACAACACAGAATAACTGTTCAAACTGAAAACTGTAAACTCATTTTCAAATGGACTTATCTATAAAGTGCCTGCAATAAGTAGCTAATTTACATTAAGTGTCAGCTGATATATTTTTAACTAAACCCTAATATATTTTTACTTAATAGTTGTTGTATATGATTCCAAATTTTAGATTTGCAACTGCATTATGTATAATTACGCGCATTTGAAAATTTTTTTATTGTTTTTTAGTCTGCATATGGTTATTCTGTGTTCTAAATAGAATTTTGCCCAAAGAAGGTGTCAATAAATTTATCGAAAGTATTTGTATTTGTTTTTTTCTACTTGTTAATAAGTTAATGTAATGCCGAGAGATGGTGCATTTTTTTCTCTGTATTTAGACATTGTGTCGGGTGCACCAAAAAATCTTTAATATTTATGACTGATCACTCTACAAAAAATAGCATATGCACGTTTTTCTACAGCTTTTTTACAATGAGAATATTTTCATCTTTGTTAATGTATTATAAGTTAAGTGTGTTTCAGGTCTGGTAAGGACAGGTATGGTTTTTGTTTTAGTTGTGTATTTTGTTAGCCAAAGCCAACCAGGCCAAAAATGTTCCTGAAATAAATTTTTATTTTTATTTTCTTAAACAGGCAAATAAATAACGTACTTTTGCGTATCATCATAATTTCAAATTTTTATAATTCTAGTCATTGATTGATGGAATTGTAAAAGTTTTGTAAAATTTAGAAATTTTAAATTACTATTCATTTAAACATTTACAGAATTAATAATGTGAAGCACTGCAAAACAAGGAAAGAGGATAGTGGTAATAACCATTAAATAATATAGGTCACATATGATGTAGTAGGTCAACATAACTAGGAAGAACACTACTCAAATTTTTAACTACTCTTGAATAGCATTTTTAGATTGTTTTGTGAAAGGTTTAACTAAATATTTTGAAGTTTTTATATGAACAGTGAAGGGTTGTGTATAAAAACTAAATTTTTTTATTTAGTCTTGCTTTTTTATATATAGCAGTTCTAGATTTAAGGACATTGATTACAAGTTCTGACAAGGTAACAGTCCTTAGTTATCAGATCATTTACTAGTTGAATGACTTTTTTTTAACTCTATTAACTGTTGTACTTTTTAAATTAATGAATAAAATTGTTTATTTTAAAAAAATAATTTATATGTATATCAGTAATTAATATTTGGTTTAAAATTACTTGAATTCATTGAAGCAGTAGACAAAAAATTACAGTAGACAATCCTGTTATGACTTACTTTATGGTCAATTTAGTAATGTTATGATGTCTCTTAGGGAGCAATATTTGGCAAATTATTTATAAAATCTAAGAACTATTAATAAAGATACACTTTAAGAGATGGACACTTCCTCTTTTGGATAAAATGGAGAGAGATTGTTATTACAATAAATAAATAATCATTCACTCACCTATTAAACTTTAGTTGTAATGTTTTGGTACTTTAATTTAAAAATATTTTAAATTTATTGATGGTATTGATTATTGTTTAATCATTAATTGTTTTTAATGATTATTAACAAAATCAGAAGGCTAATGGAAATTCTTATATAATAGAATTATATAAAAATTGGATAATAATTGAAATTAAAATGAAAATGATTGTTCATTTTTATAAATTTTCTTGGAATAATTCAAAATAATTGAACCCAGAGCATATGCTCAAAAATTTTATAAATTAAAAGTATTATTTGTTGGATTCGACTTCTTAATTACAAATTTTAATTTAATTTAAATCTGCAATATTGGTTTTTAATATTTGATTTTATTACATATATAAAGTTAGAGAATTATTATTATAAATTCTGTTGCAGTCATGATCGATTATTCTTTGTTATTCATTTACAAATTTTATGTAGAATTTATAAATGAATAGTAAAATAAATTTATAATAAAATAAAATCCAGGGAAGCATTTCTCTGTAGTAGATTTATGCATTCAGTTAAGTGTTTTCAAGTTTTTGGACAATACTGCTTTTTAATTATGAACTTGCACCTCTGGAGCAATGGCTGTTCCCAAAGGTGTGTGCAGCACAAGACTACAATCTATTGTATTTTTGTGTATACCTCATAATAAATTGCTAGGATGAAAAATAAACCTTTATGAAACTCACTCCATCATATATCCTGTGCTGCACCTATGGGAACAGCCATTGCTCCAGAGATTCAAGTTTGTAATTAAAAAGCAAATACTTCACAAAACTGGATGATAAAACAAATATCTAACCACAGTACCTTTATCTAGTCAGCAACTTTATTTTTATATAAAACAAATGCTTACCCAGGGAAGATCTTAGGAGAAGATCAAAAATGTTTGTTTTATAGAGAAATAAAGTTGCTGGACCCGATAAAGGTACTGTGGTTATATATTTGTTTGTAATTAAAATTTAAAATTAGTGTATGACCTGCCTCATTGCATAACTTGCACATTTCATTTCAAATTATTTTAAAACACTTATAACTTGCAGGTTATATGTATTTAAAAACAATTTATCAAATTATTTATTAATACAAAAACATGATATGTATATATAGGTATATATTCATATCTTCTGTATGAAATATCTAAAAATGATGTCTTTTGCCAAGGTCTTACTAATCATGCATGTTTTGTCCTAGTTCAGGCCTCAATATACTGTACTGTCTATACCAGGGGTCGCCAAACTTTTCTGATCGTCAACCCCTACAACTTTTCGAAACTTGCATCGACCCCCCACCAAAAAGTTTGTGTTACATGCAAAAAAAGTTCTTAGTATTTTAATATATATCTTTTAATTTTACATTTATTGTATATATGTTAATAATAATTTTTGTAACTGACAATCAATGAGACAGATAAGCTTGATGATCCTTAGCAATATTCGGTTCAAAATTTGTAAGTTTTAGTCTTTTCATCAACTCCCCCCAATAATGTTATATCGACCACTTTGGCTACTCCTGGTCTACACCTAGCTACCTCTTTCATTGATTACAATATCCATACAAAAGTCTCATAGGCCTATTTTATTTTTAGAATAAATTATTCTGATTTCGCTAACATGATAATTTATAACTTAAAACTCATTTGAGATTGAATGTTCATCATATTATACAGTATATCATTTTTAAACATTATATTATGCAATGATGTTTTAAAATGATTGTTGTGTAAAAATGCATATATACATAGATTTTTTCTTTTTTTACAGTAGAAACATCAGTATGCTTTCTCATATATTTTATTCTCATGGCCACATGTGTGCTTCACATCCTTGGGAAGTCATACTTGCTTTTATAACTGTTACAATTAGTATGTTATTTATGGATGGTGCTGTATTTAATCATCATAAAATGGACTGGAACTGCAAAGCATCTATGATGCAGGTAACTTTGGTTTAGTCTATACATTTTATGTATGCATGAGATGTTTAGTATAGGGTTAATTTTTAGATAAAATTTAATTATACTTTATAGAAATATTAATGATTTTGATAGTTTTTTATAGATTTCAATAATTTTCTTATTCATTGTTTTTTTGTGTGTGTTATCAAGTATTATTGTATGTTTACTAAATAAGAAATTCATTTTATTAAAAAAACATTATATTCTTTTAATAAATAGTAAAATTGTTTTATTTATTTGTTAAAACTGTGTCTTTTTGTTTTGTTTGGTTCAATGTCACAACTTGGTGAATTTATTGATACTTGGCAAATATTTTTTATCATCAACTTTTAATCCATATAGATACACGTTTCGGGCTTTTGTCCCTGCAGAAGGTGCCTGACAGATGTACACAAGATACAACCTATCTATGTAACAGACTGAAGAGGGGCGAAAGCTCGAAATGTGTATCTATATATAGGATTAAAAGTTGATGATGAAAATATTTGTTAAGTGTCAATAAATTCACCAAGTCATGACATTGAACCAAACAAAACAAAATAGTAAAATTGTTTTTTTGTCCTCAAGGAATTTGTAACTTGTTACTAAATTGGCATAAAAATCCAAGCTAGAAGTTTAATTTTATGTATTTTTTTAAAAATTCATATAAACATTCTAAGATTTTTTTGGAATAACTTTTTTATATATAGAGATTAACTGAATTTTATAGATAAATATATATGGTGGTTTTCAAAAAAAGCATTAAAATGCTAAAAATGCATTTTCCAATAAAGTATTTAGTAATTGATTGAAAAGCAAATAGTTCACAAAACTGGACTTCATAAATAAATAAATAATCACAGTATGTATCTTTATCTAGTCCAGCTTCTTTATTTTTCTATATTCTTATTTCTTGTGATTAAATTATATACAGTCGACCCCCCCCATAACGCTTGTTCCTATAACGACAATTCCTATAATGTAGCGAAAAAATTGTAGCAACATTCGTATAAAGTACCTCCTATAACATCGTTTCGCGACAAGATTGATAGAATCTGGACCAATAGTAGATGAGCAGCCGAACTACTTTCCTCCGCCCTGCGCCACGCTACGGAGCGGCTAAATTGAGTTTGCTATCGTCTGTACAAAATTATATATAAATTAGGTACTGTACATATAATTATATATTAATTATATATAAATTAGGTACTGTATATATAATTATATATTAACTTAATTTATTGTAACTTTATTATAATTATATATATGCTTTCTGCCGCCTGGCAACACGCTACGGAGATTTTAGGCTAGTAAGTTGAGTTTATTATCGTCTGTACAGTATGTAAATTAGGTACCGTAAGTCTAATACAGCACTAATTTTATACATTTCTTGTGAAAGAAACACTTCTTATTCAACGGCCATAAAAACAATTTATTTTAATGATGTCTCCAAAGATCAAGTTATTTTTCTGCAAAAAATTCGTTATCAGAAATCGCGGCCGTCGTTTCGTGTGCTGTTCCGCGACGAAAACAAGCTTTGAGCAACGGCGTAGTCGAACGGTGCACACTCGGTAAGTAATCCTATAATTTTTTGTTTATAGCATAGTTTATACGGATTATTCCCAAAAAATTATACGTGTTTTGGAAATGTTGAGTGGAATTAGTCCAGAATCGGTTAATTTTATAGAAGAAAATTTTTCGAACATCCTTAGTCCGTAAACTTCCACCTATCGGGCTGCGATTGGCTCATGTATTTAATCATTCCTACAACGTAAAATTAAGTGGAACGTATCTAAGCGTTATTGGGGGTTCTACTGTATACGTATTCTTTTCTTTATATAAGATTTTTGTATTAGTTTCATCTATGTTACAGTTGTTTAATAGGCAATGCTCATGAAAAACTGAATTTAATCTGTGATATTTCATATCAGCAATGTGTTGTTTTAATTTTATGTTTAATTTTCGTTTGGTTTCACCTGTATAAATATTAGTATCTTTACAAGTACATGGGATTTCATATACTACGTTCTTGGTTTCTTCTTTAGTCTCATTANTTTCTGCGAGAACTTTGTTGAATTTTGGAGACATCATTAATATAAATAATTTTTATGGCCGTTGAATAAGAAATCTTTCTTTCTTTCACAAGAAATGTATAAAATTAGTGCTGTATTAGACTTACGGTACCTAATTTACATACTGTACAGACGATAGTAAACTCAAGTTACTCGCCTAAACTCTCCGTAGTGTGGCGCTGGATGGCGGAAAGTATATATATAATTATAATAAAGTTAAAATAAATTAATATATAATTATATATACAGTAACTAATTTATATATAATTAACCAGTTCTGTATCACTTTTTGCAGAACCTTTGCATACAAACTGCATTAATTACAACCTGGTCTTGTTTTTTATGCTTATGCTAGGTTCAGTGAAAAATATATCTGTAAAAATTTTGTGTTTCATATCTATAAACAATGAAAATGTTTGTGTGTGTAACTTATTTATTATGTTCAAGTAAAAGCAATCTTATATACTATTTTTAATGGAATTTAATAAGTCATAACTAGACAGCGGACATCTAGGCCCTTAAGAAAATGGAATAACAAATTTTTCTATGTATGGTCTACAGATCTATGAATTTCAGTGTCAAAGAGCATTTTGAATTCATTATCTGATATCCCCATGAATGGCATGATTTTAATGAAATTTTTTTGGCATGACAAAACTCTCAATTTTTATGGCATGAACAGAAGTTTGTTGGAAACAAACTTCTGTTGTATGGAAACAAACAGAAGTTTGTTGGAAACAAACTTCTGTTCATGCCGTAAAAATTGAGAGTTTTGTTGTGCCTTTTCATTTGTGTTTTATTTTAAATTTTGTTCTTTCTCCTATTTACAAGCCTGAAATCTCAAAGTTTAATGTTTAGAATATTTAAATTGTTACAGGCCTACTGCATGTAGTGACATTCCATTCTAAATTTGTTAGCCTGATGATAACGATTTTGTAACAACATTGAAAGTACTTAAGTTATAAAAAGGATTTTAATGCCATCTGACAATATATATAGTATTATGTCTAACTTGATATGGACTTTGAAAAACCCATGGTTTTTAGAGGCTGGTATAACATTAAGAACATCAGAATTCTGGAGCAATATTTCATTTACATATTAAAAAAGCATTACGAACATCACTAATGCACAGGACTTAAGAAAACTGGATGTTAGATGGACTGGAATACTAGAAATAAGAGATTGGAGGAATGTAGTTAAATGCATGCGGGACAGAATAATATAGGACATAGTTTGATATAAGAAAAATGTTCAAATTTAATACTTTTGACTGAACTGGAAAGTGAAGTTAATAATGTGCATATATGTAGTTTGTTTTAACAACTTGGAATACAAATGTGTAGTTTTAAATATAGTTCGATCATTAAAAATGGTATAAAAGTACAAATTTGGTTTAAACAGTGATTTATATTGTTAGGAAGCTGAAGCTGTCCAAAAACATGACAAAAACATTTTTTTATGATAATGTTAAATAGTTGGTTACTTGAGATTAACATTTAATATAGATAAAATATGAAGCCAGAAACACACAAGATGATATTGGATTTCACAAAGATTATGAAAATTTTATTGAATGTAGTTATTAATTTGTATTGTAGATTTAATATAATTACAGTAGAGCATCGATTATCCAGAACAATTCAGGACTGAGGTTGTTCAGATAACTGATCATGTATGAAAAAATATATTAACCTATCCCATGTTGAAATTTTTCTCCATTGCATGTCGCTTTGTGTTGAATTTTTATCAATGTTAAGCCTAACAAAAATTTTTTTAAAATAATAATTGTGGTTATTGTATCGTTAAAAATTATTTCTTCATTTTGCACAAACGAAATAAATATATTGAAAAATATAAAAACAAAAAAATTATATTTCAGAAGTTAATCTAGTATCAAAAACGTTCCAATTCAGCATGACACATGTCCCGGCACACAGTTTTCAGAAAAACACCACACAAAACAAGCAAAACTCTTTCTTGGGTTTATCTGGAGATGTCGGCTGCTTGGGCTATATTCTCTGATGAGCTGAAGCAAAACACACCACTCACGATGGGGAAAAAAGCCTCGTTTAAATTCTGGCGCGTCCTTAAGTACCCTCTTGATGTGTGTCGTGCTGAATCGGAACGTTTTTAATAATAGATTAACTTCCAAAATGTAATTTTTTTGTTTTATATTTTTCAATATATTTATTTTGTTTGTGTAAGATAAAGAAATAATTTTTAATGATACAATATAGTCGTGCCAGTGTTGCCAGCTAAAACACGCACACCAACAAAAATAATATTGGAGTAGCCCAAGACATAGCCAAATATTGCAGCGCCACAGCACTAGTGGAAATTTGAATTTGCTGACTGGAACACTTTTGGTTACCAATGTTTCGGTTGATCGGCATTCAGATAATCGATGCTCTACTGTATTTGTTGCTTGATCTTCTGTTTTAGTGATCTTATAGTGGCTTAATTTTTTTTAAGTTATAAATATTTTGTGCAGTTATGGAAAAGATCTAACTTGAAGCATTCAAAAAATGAAAAATAATATTAAATAGCTAACAAATATAATATTTAAATTTATTAATATGCTGTATTTAATTTATAATTTTAACTATTTATATTAAATAAAATTAGATATTATAATTAAAATTAAATATAATATTAAATAATAATTAATGTTAATTGCAAAATATTTTTAGGAGGAAAAAGGAATTGAAGTAATATCTTTGACAATTACTCGTTGTATGGCTTTGTTATATATTTATCATCAATTTAGAAATCTTTATAAACTTGGATCCAAATATTTAATAGGTAAATATTTATAGATATATTTTTTTTATTAAAATCTGATTATTTTAAATTTTAGAACAATACATTAATGAGACAAGTGATACCTAACAATTTTATACCATAGAATTTTATTAAAGTTTTATATATTTTTTTTGTTAAACTTGTTTTTAATTAAATCATATTTGGTAGCAATGGATATTCAAAATTTTTATATATTTTTTTAAATGTAGTAATTTAATTCTGAAATTTGTTTTGCAGGTATAGCAGGACTTTTTACTGTCTTTTCCAGTTTTGTCTTCAGCAGTAGTGTTGTAAATTTTTTTCGTGGAAATTTTGCAGAACTGAGGTATATTAATTTCAATATTTTATAATTAGACACTTGAGTGCAAATTTTCAGTTAAGTGAGAGATTCTTTGATTAAATCATCATTTTTGTTTTGTTTGCTTTGAAGATTAATGATTTTTATTCTTCTAGGTTTAGCTTATATGATACAAAAAGCTGAAATTTTTTTTTATAATAAAATGAAAAAAAATGCTTGCTATTTTAGAATTTCAGCAAAGAGAAGCTTTACTGAAAGAATATTCATAATTACTGATTTACAATACAGTAATACCCCGACTTACGCAAACCTGGAGTTATGTGATTTTCAAATCTCATCGAATTTGAGCACCATGCAACTCTCGATTACTCACTCTTTCCACACTATTGTTTGGCTTACATGTTCGGACGTGTCGCGCGGAATCCACATATAGCTACAATTTATTTTGTGTTATTTATTTCTGTGTTTGTTATATCTACGGAGACTCGAGAAACTCTACTATGTCATCCAAACAAAGTAGAACTGATTCTCCTGCATCAGACAAGAAAAGAAAAACTTTATCTTTGGGATGTAAAGTTAAAATTATTAAAGACTTCAATACAAAAATGAAAATTTGTGAATTGGCAAAGAAGTTTGATTTACCGGAATCGACGGTTAGAACAATTATAAAAGATAAAGAAAGAATTCACGAAGCTGTAAAAAATGCTCAATCTTTAAATTCAAGCATCATTCGTAAACGTCACAGTATTATCGCTGAGATGGAAACAATGTTAAAATTATGGTGTGATAATCAAGTAAATGTGAAAAATTGTATAATAATATAATTTGTTATAGGCTACACATGTATTATCTAAGATTTTATTAATCACTTTTTTCTGAATTATATTTTACTTTAGTCTTCAGTCCCAATTAAAAATTATTTGTATGTATTTATATGCGAAATTATACTCTGACTTACGCGAATTTGACTTATGCGGTTATCACTCGGTCCCACCTATCGTGTAAGTTCAGGGTATTACTGTACTCAAATTTTATATTTTTTGTGCATTTGTAGTTTGTTTTTAGTATGTTAACATAATTTGGATTAATAATTAACATAGGTTTTTGTTAGTTGTAGTAAAACATTAAATACGTTCAATAACTGCAAGATCACTTTTAGAATAATAATATTACTTTTTCATATACCATATTTTATGGCATATAAGATGCACTTTCATTTTGGCACAAATTATTTAGGAAAAAGTATTTAATGTATTTAAGTCATCCCGCAAAAGCTGCTTTTGATTGTATTCATTTTGAATATTTTAATAGTAAAAGTCATTTACTGTTAAAATATTCAACATGAATACAATCAAAAGCAGCTTTTAGCTATAACAAAAAACAAATAATTAAACATCACGTACCTTAGAAAAACCTTTAACCAATGCGAAATAAAATAAAATTTAATACTACAAACGTTTTCAGACCCCTCCTGGGTCCTTCAGATAAAAAATCGTTTGAAACGTTATTAAATACGAAAAAACATTCTTTTGGAACGATTTTTAAATATTGAAAGATAGAAAGGAATCACGTGATCACTAGCTCCGAACGTCAAATCTTCTACGTCACGTCGAGAATTATTTAAATGTTTCCCTTTTTTTAAAGATTTTACGAAGATCTTTGTTGTTAAGCATAACAAACATATCACATAAATACAGACTACCCATTTTTTCATTATTATTACAAATAATATTGTTTAATTAAACATATTATAGTTATAATTTTTTCAAAGGTTTGAGTTAGGTAGAGGTACCTGTAGCCTATTGAAAGCCATTTGGGGAATTTATTAGCCTATGAGAGATTGAAATTTCATATATATGGTACGATGGGAATTTTTGATTTCTCCTTTAGTTAACAAAACTTACATTTTATAAGCCATAAAATATGGTATATATTACATATGGAAATTAGGCAGTTGTCTTATGTATTTAAGAATGTGCAATATATCTATGACTGAAAGTGATTTTATGTAGTTTAATTATGAAAACGTATTAAGTTTTTTGTTTCAGTATGTAAGCTTTATTACTGTTTTATTGATAAAGTTTAATACAGTAATTGCTCACTTAACACACATTTGATTAGTGCATTTTTTGAATAACATGTTTCAGAAATTAACAAGTTTCAAATAGCACAGGAAAAAATTTAATTAACACTGTTATTTTTTGAAAGTAGATTTACATGTTCAAGCATGGCATTTGATTTGAATACTTGCATAATGAACAGGGTTGCTATCAGGCTGAGTTTATGACCAAATTTCTCTTAAACTAGTTATAAGGAAAATTAATTGGCTATAAAAAAATTTTATTGCTGTGGCCAAACATGACAGAATTTTGATCATACTTGGTAAAATTATCATATTTTTGTAATTTCATGTTTTTATAGTAATAAATTTTTTCCAATATTTTTATGATAAATTAATATTTTATAATTTACTAGATTAAATAATTAATAATAAAATTAATAATTAGTAACAATTATTAAATTAGCTTAAAAATAGCTTGATACAGTGGTACCTCAGGATACGAAATTAATCCGTTCCGAAACTGAGATTGTATCATGAAAATGTCGTAAGGTGGATCATCTTTTCCCATACGATTACATGTAAAACCAAATAATTCGTTCCAACGCGAAAAACATACTCAAATTAAAGCCAAGTAATACATTTAAAAAAATAACTGTAGTAAGAAAAACAAATGAAAAATGCGAACTAATGTAACGTCGTATGGTGAGTTTTTGTTCGTATCGTGGAGCAAAAATATGTTCGAATTTCATATTGTATCCTGAAAATTTCGTATGCTAGGGCGTTTGTAACCTGAGGTACCACTGTAATTCAACAGATCATTTAGATTTAATTTATTAAATTGGGTTATGAAGGATATTCACATAAAAATTAAGCTCAAGGGTCTAATTCCATATTTTTCTTTATTGTGTAAGGGAATTCCATATTTTTTTAGAAAAACAAATTTTTAAATTTATTAATTTAAATAATAATTCAATTAATAGTAAAGCCAAAAAAAGCATAGCTATAAAAAGCTACTCAGATATTTGATAACATGTGTTATCAAATAAAATTTGTATTTTCACTAGTTACCTGTTCTTACATGACTGAAAAGTTAATAAGAGTTTGAAAGTCTTGGATTAAATAAATGGTATTGGATTTTCTGTTATTTTGATTAGCATCCACTTTTAGTGGGATCATTAATTGTGTTCATGAGGAATTACTGTATATAATTTTACCTATCAAATTTGAATCTCAGTAGATATAGAAAATTAAATAATTTATCAATTAATTTTTTTCTTTATGATTGTTAAAATTGTTTTGTCATATATTTATTACTCTGATAAGGTATTTAAAATACAAACTTAGCAATTCTTAAATAAAATATTTATTTATAGTGAAGCCCTTCCAGTATTTCTACTTTTAATCGATTTTTCAAAAGCTGGTCTTCTGACACAATTTGCACTCAGCTCTGTTTCACAGGTAAAATAATAATCAACATTTTCTCTATGGTTATGAAGTCTGATTATATTTTAATTTATAAGATTCTGTTATTTATTTATAATTACTAAAATTTATTGTTGTCACAGTAATAAACTATCTCCATTGTAATTTTGGAGAAGAAAAAGAACTTTTAAAGCCACATTAACAAATGAAATTAAGATTAATATTATGATGATGATTAAAACTGAATGTCACAACTACAGCTTAACAAAAGCAAATTCAATCATTTTGTTGAATAATAATTGCTAAGATGATAATTTTGTTCATAGAAGTAAGAAATCAATCATGGGTAGATGATCACATCTACTATTCTCTGATTTATAAAATACAATAAATATTTTAATAAACTCAAAAATTTGTCATTTGAACACATTTAAATAGTTTTCCTAGGATGATAAATTTTTAATTTCAAAGATATTTTAAAGTAATAAAGTTGACATTCATATTTAATTTAAAATAGAGTTTAAATATTAAGATGATAATCTTTAATTGTTTAATTGAAAAATGAAAAAGTAACATAAACAAGAATTTATAAAATAAAATAATTGTAATTGGTAAATCAAAATATTTTAAGCAAATACAAAATTTTTTTTCCTTATCAAAACTCCCGTATTTTTTTTATCAGTTTCAATTTCCTTTACATAATTGGTTACCTCTTAAGTAGATATTTCCTAGCCATACTAATTAAGATTTCACTATAGATTGATGATATATTTATATGAAAAAATAATAAAAACACTTTCAAATCACTATAACTTAATTTTTCTGAATGTTATTTGAAAGTATTAATGACCATTCAGTTTCCATTTATATGTTTTTGATTTAATAAAAAATCTATTTAAAAATTTGTTTGTAATTACGAGTTTATTTATATCAAATGCTTCAAATTATTAAAAGTTATTATTAAAAGAAAAGTTTAAAAGTTAAGTTCAGTGAAGCTTTGTGAATCTTTTTGAAGTATAAAACATCATATGTTCAAACTAATGTTTCAAGGCCCATTTTCATGATGTCATCAGAAATCTATATCATGTTTCATTTTTTATTTTGAGATGACAAGAATTAATGTTATACTTTATAAATGCCATCTGTATGTCTGATAATTCAAACACAATTTTAAAATTTCTTGAAAATTTTAATGAATATTCTTATTTGTCTGTTTTCTCTGCATTTATTTTTGCATTGTTTCATTTCTTTTTGTTATTTGGAAATATCCTTTTCTTCCCTACATTTTCTCAACTTCAGGGACTAAAATATAGGGAACAACTACTTGTTTTTTTCCTCTGGATGCTGTATATGGCTTTCTCTCTTGCACAACCCTTTGTTTTTTTCTTCTTATTTTTTGGACATGAGGACTCTTCCTTTTTCTCAATTCACTAGATTTCTTCAATTTGCCAATGCTCATCATCACTTGTAATAATCATGATATAAATGACTATAATCAGAATCTCCAAAAATCTGTTAATAACATCATTATTTCTATTATTGTTTGCTTTTTCATCTATTCATATAGACATTGAAGAATATATTAATCATCAGACAATCATGTTTTTTGTTTCAAATATAAGAGTTGTTATATGTGTACCTAATCGGAAACTAAGGCCAAACAGCTACAGACACTAAGCACAAGTAAAATGTACTCATTTAGTTATATTAGGTTGCCACTAAAACACCAGGAGTTGGTGACAGATGTGTTTCTTTTACAAAAGCACAACAGCCTGTGTAAATGGAAATCTGGAAAGTGGGGTAAAGGAGTACCAAAGGGAAATTAGATGAAGTGAGTAAATTTTACTTGTGGTTAGTATTTTAAGGTTAAAAAAGTGCATCTTAGAATTGCAGAAATACAATAATATGAATGAACATCCAGTTTTTTTTAAAGCAAAATATTGTGATTTTAGCACAAAAATGTTAAGAACTGAATTTTGGAAGAAAGGATTACTTTGCATTAAATCAGCCTCGGTTGTCACAGATTACTTGAAGAATAAATTTGATTTTATTCACAGACATATGTGATTAATGCATTTTTTCTCTAGATTTCTTATTAAATCATAATAATAAATTATAATTAAGTCATATTTACCTTATATATTATATATATAAATAAAAAATAGTATATATATTATTTTTTATTTATTCTTTTATTCTTAAGAAACATAGCATTAAGATTAATTATTTGTTTCATAAATTTATTTATATTCTTAACTAATTCAACCATAACTTAATTTAAGAAGAATATTAGCAAACGAAAGAGACTTGCTAACATGTTCACAAAAATCAGATACGTACTTTATTCTTTCACAGCATTCAATTATTAGGTCATTGCAAATGAAATGGCCATTTTTTAAAATTTAAATTTTTCAGCCTTGTAGTTTAGCTTTGTGAACAGTGTTGTATTGTTTGCAAATGGAAGAGCACACATATAACTTATGAATTTAAAAATGTAATCTCATTTATGTTGTGAGTTCCACATGTTTAAGAGTACTTTTTTCTGACATCATAGGATAAAAAGGAAATTGAATAAATTTCTTTTACAAATATAAGCAGTGACGTAATACAGCTGAAGAAAACCGAAATACCAATAAAACTTTTGGTGAAGGTTCTGTGAGTGAGCACACTACCAGGCATTGGTTTAAAAAATTTCATTCTGGGAATACAAATCTCAAAAATCAGAATTGAAGAACATCATCAAATCAGAATGTCACCTGACCATCTTGGAAATCATGGATAGGTTGCACAAACTGGAAATTATTCATCCATTTCTCGACATCTGATCATGTCTGACATCTGATTTGGGTTGTTACACATGTGAATCAGATTTTTATTAAACTTGTAAAGAGAATATATCAATCTATCAGTAAATCTAAAATATAAATCTAAAGCTTCAGTGAAGATCTTATGGAAAAATGTTCCTTCCCAACTCCGCCTCGTTGAGTTGGTTTCTTGTATATCACGACTCGATGTAGTGAATCAGGTTCATCGGAAAGTACACCTCCACACTCAAATTGAATATATATATAGTTTATTTACAGTTGTACAAGTTATAAACGTAGCATATGTACAGGAAGATCATGCGTGGTGAATTCACGTGCCAGATTGGCGTCTGGAAACTAATACTCTTGGGAGAGACCTCAGTCAGCTTTCGGAGTCGGCTCAACTGCACGGTCGGTCCGGTCTCAGCACTAACCCGTCCCTGAGAAGATTAACAGAGGAGAACACTCTCTCTTTACGCTCAGCGGGCTTCCCAAGTGCCTGAGACTACCGTGTACCAGTCTCTTGCCCTTCTCTGCTTTCCTCTCGTTCGGCCCGCAATTTAAGGGTTTTTGGACGGGGACTTCCGACCAATCACAATCCCTTTTCTTTGCCCGAACAGCTTACACTCGGGTCCGCCGTCACCCGACGAGAGTGAAGCTCACACAAACGTCCGCCACTTGTTTATGTTCGTTCGTTTACAATATGGCAATTGTACTACCGTCTCACTGCAGGTGGGTCCAATTAACAAAGCCGTACCCCCTTTGTCCCCGCTGTGCTAAAAGGTTACTACTTTACAGCTTCTTTTCATTTTGTTTTATGATCTATGGCTTTGCTTTACACAAAAAATACAATAATCATTGCTTATAGAGAAAACAGAACCAAAACTGAACAAAAGTAGTTGATCAGAAATAAAGCAAAAACTAAATATAATTGAAAGTCTATGCTGAAAAAATGATTAAAATGTAAGTTTTATATTACTTTTGTATTTATTTTTTTGCAAATAAAGTAAATATGATGACAACTATGACAAAATAAATAAAATGATGACTGACAAAATAAAACAGAAACTAAAAAGTTCATAACAACAGGAGGATGGTTGTCTGTGGAACCTGAAAAATAATATGTAATAGCAGTAGTCTGTTATGACAAATTAATTTTCTCATAATTTTTTATACTTTTGGCTTGACTGCCATCTGTAATAACACAAAGTCTGTAATATCGTGCTTTCACTGTAGTTAGTTGTAAAGACTTTTTATATAATGTGAAATTTTAAAAATTTATATGAAATTCCAATTGAATATTTAGTTTTTTGTCATTTTTATAACACACTTCTATAGTTAATTATTAGTTTTTCTTCATTAACAATAATTGATATTTTGCATTTCAGGCTGAAGTACAAGAAAATATTGCACAGGGAATGGCAATTCTTGGACCTACAATAACATTAGATACAATTGTAGAAACATTGGTCATTGGTGTTGGAACTTTATCAGGTAAATTATAAAATAAATATTATCAAGTTGCTTTAAGTTTGAGAATAATAATAGAGTTTTTATATTTTATCAAATTTTGCTTGGTCACACACAAATTGTAAGTTTAAAGTTTTGAAATTGAATAGAAAGATAATTAAACTAGCATTATATTTTTTGTTAATAAGTTCGTATTTATAATTTATAATCCTATGAATACACTGACACTTGCGTGATTTTTCTATTACAAAAGAAATACTTGATTTGTTGTTTTAAGTTCCACAAAATTAAAAAACAGTTCTTTCAAAGTGTAAATTATTTTAAGAATTTTCTAAACAATTTTATCTTAAAATCATGACATTTTTTTAAATTCTACAATGACACATACACCTTATGCCTCTGAGAACTAATATTTATTGTTTTACAAATGTTTTCAACCTGATGTATAGTACAGGCCATCATCAGATATTTTGAATTCTCTGGAACGTTTTTTGTATTTGTTCCAGGTTCGAATGATTATGTGAAAGAAATTCAAATTTTTTATAACTGTTTCAAACATCTTGAAATATCAAATATATCAAAAATGTAACAAATAGTATATATATGTTAAATTGAACTATATCATGAAAGAACAACATGATAATATAATATCATGAAAGAAATTGCAGCCTACAAGAATACAAGATTATTATACAAAAGGGCTCCCATGGTTTATAATTTGCTTAGAATGACAAAGATACGATCAAAAAGGAGGAACAATCTGATGTATACAAGATACCATATAAAAATGATCAATTAGGCCTGAACAAAGAATATATAGGTGTCACCACCAGACATTTCATCAAAAGACTTAAAGAGCACATATGCAATGTAAACAAAGGGCACTATACTATGGCACTATCCAGAGTAGCACAGAGGGTTCGGTTGTTGAATGGAATGAGGCTAGGATTGTTAAACTGGTGCATTTACCGTCTTTAGCAATGACTGTAGAAAAGTTTGAAATATATAGATCCAGCCTTACTGGCAAGTGTTTAAACCACAAGATGCCACAGGATTACCATCAGCATGGAAATTTATGATAAAAAAATAACACAGTAAAATATAATACGTAATGTGCACTTGGGCAATATAATCAGTGGTGATATTCAGCGGGTTTGCACAGGTTCGGCTGAACCCGTTGTTAACATTTTCAAAGTTTTTCGAACCCGTTTTAAACACATGTAACATTTCTCAGTGATTTTGTTTCTTTTAAAAAATATATTAAAATATACGTATTATACTCTGTAACACTACTAAACTAGAGCCTTATACCCTGTTCGCCTAGTGCAACCTCCATCGACCGTTTCAATCTCAACTAAAAACGAGGTTCAATCGTGATCGACTCGAGAGAATTCTCGAAACTAGATCCAGTCATAAGAGATCCCACAATCCCACGCGCGCGAGAAAATACAAGATGGCTGCGGAGCACGTGTCGGGCTATCAACAGCGAAGTAAGAAAGATATTGTATTTCGAGAGACGATGACATCTGTCTATTTTTATAATAATACCTAACGATAAAATAAATGATTTAGAAAAGTTTTTCTTGTTTAACTGCTTTCCCTATGACTTTTTCTGATTAAAAAAAGCCAATTTTTATGTTTATAAAATATTTTGAATGAAAAATATTAAAATATGTACAAAATAAACCATTTTGAACACACTTTTTTATTATTTATCAAAAAAAAATATATAGTTCTGGCATAAACAATGTTAAATTTTAACTGACTTAATTTTGCGAACGCATCTTTTTTATTTATATGGATATCTTAAGGTCAGTTTTACAAAAACTTTTAACATATAAGCGTTAAATTAGACACCTATGTCACTAAATTGACGAGCGCTTTCGACGATATACACTTTTGTCTTCTTCAGGTCATTAGAACCTTTTTTGAATACAAAATTTTTAAAGTTTTTGTAATAAACGATTAGCGTGCTGTCCATTATCAAATTAAGGTCAGTTTTTGCGCTAATGTTGCTAATGCACCATTTGAGCGAAAAAAAATTGTTAAGGAAAAATTTTCTGTTAGCGAACCCTTTGTTAAATATTTCGAATATCACCACTGAATATAATTATGTATATTGTGTTAGTATATTTGTATTTTATTTTATTCCATTTATTTTAATTAGTTTAATTTAACATATTTATACTATTTGTTACATTTTTGATATATTTGATATTTCAACAAGATATAAAGAGTGTGTATCAGAAAACTTACTAATACACCTTATCTTGCAATCGTGTGTGTGTGTCATAGTATTTAAAGAATCTGAGTATATATTGAAATATAAATTCTACGATATACTCAAAGTTTTGGAATATTTAGTTCAAATATCACCTCAATCAAAAATAATTACCAAATTAGTCAAGCAATTATAGTACAATAAAATCAAATTATAAATTAAAATTTTTAAAGCAATTATTATGTTATTATAATAGCTAATAATAGTTGTAATAATAATTATTGTTATTTGACAAGACTATGTCTAGTTTATAAAATTGCAGTGCGAACTGAGTTACCAGCTTAGAGGTATGAAGGAGTACATATCAGGAGTTGCAATTTGGCACAGAGTATTAGTGCCCAAATCATGCATGCATAAAAAACCAGACTTGTAGGCACTCGGGACCAAGAACCAAGTCAAAATAAAATATAAAATGGGGACACTCTACATACAGGCAGTAGTGTGATATTTGTTATGTCCCAAAGAGCACATGTGTTGCTCTTTGGGAAGTTGGAAATACGAACACTGTGAAATCAAATTTTGAAAAACGCATGCATTGGGAAGTTTGAATGTTGCGAAAAGCAAATGTTGATAAATCAAATTTTGACAAACAAATCTTTGAAAAAACCCATTTACCTGTCCTGTGTTATTCCTCACATATCTGGTCTCCACATGCTAACCTTGACCGGTTGACCAGACATATCTCATTTCATCATCTGAACATTTTTGAAACTAGATGGTGCGTTAGTTATAATTTTATATTAAAACTAACTTCCGAAATATATTTTTCTTTTTACATTTATTAATATATATAACATATATATTGTTTGTGCAAAATAAAAAAATAATTTTGGATGATACAATAACCAGGATTATTATTTTCAAAAACGGGAAATTTTTGTTAGGCATTGACAAAAGTTCTACCCGGGCAACACGCTATGGAGAGAAATTTCGAAATTGGATAGGTTGATTTTACCGAAAATGCATTGTGGGTGACCTTCTGGCTGAGGCCAGCAAAGTTTGAATGATTATGCTCAAAACCAGCGATACCAAAGAAGATTTGATAATGAAAACGAGACCCACCTTGAGCGTCAGTGATCCCGCTTAGTTGTGAGTCTCTGAGACATAGTCTTGTCCCAAATACGGCCTTGCTGTTTTACTTGTTAAAATGAAAAACTTTTAAACCAAAAGAATAAAATAATAAAAGGTAAAAAAAAATAATAAAACTGTCAATTCAATGATAGATCTTAATATAAAAACGATTTTCTTAAACCAAATAACTGGAGCGTTTATGTTCTATTATTGCAAACGTTTTTGACTCCCCTTCTGGGAATAATAGAACATAAATGCTCCAGTTATTTGGTTTAAGTAAGTCGTTTTTATATTCAACCTGGTGTGTGAGGAAATTAAGATAGATCTTAATTCTAGTGAATGTCAAAATTATTTCTGTAAATAATGTAACTTAAAATAATAAATATTCATAACCTTTGTATGTGATGATAAAAAAAAAGAAACTTTATAAAAACAAAACATTGCAAGATACATATACTTTAAAGTAATCCAAAGAGACAGAATATCTTTAACTTTTAAATCTATATATTTTTAATATTTTATGTGATAGAATTTGTATGTATAAATGTACTATATTTTTGAAAAGTTATATTCTTGTTTTATCTTATTAAACAAATTACCATAATTTTATAGGGGTGAAAAGATTAGAAGAAATGTGCTGCTTTGCATGTTTATCAGCTGTGGTTAATTATATTGTGTTTATGACATTTTTTCCTGCATGTTTATCTCTTGTATTAGAGGTAAGTTGATACATCAATTTATTAAATAAAAGTATAATTTTTATAATGGAACTAGGGGCTTTGCCCATTTGTTCCTAATATAGATTATTTTTAACAAAAATTTCAATAAGTATATCTTCATCTGTCTAATTCTGAGTAAGGATTTTGTAATGTAAACTAAGTTCAGATTTTCTTTGAAATGCATCTCCACACTCAAATTAGTTGGAAAATCACAGTTATTATATAAATTGCATAAACTTTCAGGTTTTCTGCATCAAAATTGAACATAGACCAACTTTTAGATTACAGAATTAAAAAAATTTTTTATTTCAAATCAGCAAATGTCACAATACGTTAGAATGTCCCATCAAAAAATGTTCCAGTTCTGTGGTTACGGGATTTGTTATTCTCACTTGTCCCTGGGCTTTGCCCATTTGTTCTCAGTATAGATTATTCATTTTCTGACAGTGCTGAAGGGCCTCCCTATACTTTGACACCACGTGACCGAAGGGTCGACATCACATCAGTGAAGATTGCAATGACAAGTTCTGTCAGGGCTGACACCACTGTGTCTTTATGGACAGACACAGAAATCCTTATGTTCTCGTGCGAACGATCATGTGTGTGAGCGAACGGATTCGGGATGGAGGGAGAGACAGTGCATCAGAAGTGACTCACTTAAAGACGGGTTAATGTAACAACTATTTAATTAATGGGTAACAATAGGTCATACAACATTTCAATTTTAAATATGCTAGCTTTTAGATACATTTCTATGATTGATAGATATTAGATATATATGTCAGATATTAACGTTTTTGTGATTCCTGAGAGAGAGAGTTTACAGAAGTTGCGCATGGCAATAAATACCTTTTATGATATCTTGATTGAGATTCTTGACTTGGGGTTGAGATTAGGATCTTGAGGGTGAGGATTTTGATCGCTGGCTTGGTCTGGATCAAGAAAGTTCTTCTAGGCACAATGGAAAGTAATGGGAAAAATCCGACGGGGTACTGATTGAGCACAGAAATTGTCACTGATACACAGAAAATTTCGATGACTTTAATCCAAGAGGGAAAGGCGACGACTGCCTTAATTTCTTGATTTTTTCACTGTTGAACCGATGAAATTGAGTTATTAGGTCGAGAGGTGATGAGAAAGCGTCGTTGTCAGGCCTGAGAACTTAACAGATGTTTAGCTCCCAGGTGTAAAAGTTGACAGTTATGTATCAAGTTTATAGTTACGATGTGATGTTATGAACAAATGATGTAAACACATGGAAAGTCTGGATTCGGATCCTCACAATTTAAAAAAATCAATCTTTTAAAAAACTTCTTAAAAGATTAAAAAACTTCAAAGTTAATGCAGAAGACAACCATCGTTTTTTATCTATAACTGCATTTTATCAGAGACAAAACTGCTAAGGATTACATCCGTTAGCTTTTATTAAAGGATTGATTTTTTTTTAAAAATATATAAAAAACAGACCATAAACATATACATTTATCTGTTACTTATAGATTGTTCATAACAAAAAATTTGTGACAGTTCAACCTCCCATGAGGGACCAACCCTGCTTGGACCATCTTGCACTTGCTTTGCTTCTTCCCTCACTCCACTCCCTTGGCTTTATATCCCATGAAACAGTTGGCCCCAACTCTTGTCATCCACTATCTTTGCTCCCATCTCAGTCCAACCTCCCTACCTTGCTTTGTTCCCCCTTTACTTCACTCAATTCTGCTCACTTCACTCACTTATTCAAAAATTTTGTAAAGGTTTGTAGATTCCTGGTGCTACTTTTTATGATGAAAAATGTATCATGTCAATTTCAAGCTTATTATTTTATATATAACAGGTATCTTTTTATTTTTTATATAACATTGTAGTTACATTTTGAAAAAGTGCCATGTTATATGAATCTGTGCTATATGAAACAAGGGACTAGTGCAAAACAGGGTTAGGTTCCAAAAGTTAATAAAAGTATACTATTGTTTTTTATTACATTTATTAAAGCAATCGATAATTTTCAATCAAGAATTAGCTAACACAATGAAAAATATTATATTATGCATTAATATTAATTTTTGTTAATGAGGGCATTTTCTTTTTACAAAGTATTGTTGTCTCCTGAGCCTTTTTATCAATCTCGATCAGAAATATTAATAACATTTTCATATTAAAAAAATTTTTATGGACAACAAAATAAAAATATGTTGTTAATCAACAAATGTTGTTCTAGAGAGTCACATTTATTCAGTTCAGGACCGAGCAATTTTTTTAAGAACTTGTGTTTGAATACTGAATTGTTTGAGTTGGAAACAGTTTGAGTATGACATACTACTGTATTTTGTTTGTCAGTTTTTATGAATGATTATTTACCCACAGTTAAAAAAATAACACTTTACTAAATACAAAGTTTAAACATTTTTAGGTAAGTTTATTTAAAATATACTAAGTTTATATAAAATCAAAACACAGTGACAGTCTTAAAGGCTAAAATCTGACGATGACAATGGCCTGGTTGATAGAAAAGCAAGGGCAAGGAAGAAAATTTTACTCTAGGCTAAATTGTATAAACAAGATACAATTTAGTTAATATTATTCTAATTGTATCATGTTTTCAACTTCTGTCATTTATTTACCACGTTACAGAATTAATTTTACTGTTTATAAAAACTGTTCAATAGCAATGAGTGTAAATGATTATAAATATATTTGTATCTTTTCTTGATAACATTATAGTAAAACAATGTTGAACAAAACAGGGTTTAGCAAAGACTTGATTTACACACACACAGTGCCAAAAATAACTGTCCACAGGAGAGCAATGCTGGAAAGTTCTTGCCACATGTGATCAGGGAGTGGGTTTTGTTGTATGAATAGAGCAAACCTATCAGTTAATTTGTTAATACCAGAATTCAGTGTTGACAATTGAAAAATGAAACAAAGTTAAACAGTAATTAAAGGGTAATACAAATGGCAAGAATTTAATAAGATAGAGTACAGATTACAGGTTTAAATATCATTACAACTTCAAACTGGTATCTGTTCTTAGTAATGCACTGGTAAAGCCTGTGTTCTCAAATGAAATCTTGACTTAAATGATTTTATCATTTGAGCACAGGCTTTACTACTGCCTCACTGAGAGTGGATACTAGTTTGAACATACTTTGGCTACTATTTTTGATTCCAGTCTGCAGCACTATCCTCCATTTTTTTACCATGTGGACTCCACAAAAACCTAAAGCTCCCAGTCCTCCACACACTTCCCTTCACCCTCATATCTTTGGGAGTTTTCCACTCCTGAGAACATGAGGGTTGTCCTCCACAGGTTCTTCCACTTAGACCAGACAGGGGTGTTGCCAATACTAAAGACAAGACACACCACAATGGGAAAGGTTAGGTGGTGAGGGACAAAATCCAACATATCCAAGACTGGCTACCCTCAGAAAAATTTCCAGGGTTTTTCGACCCATCTGGATTCGGTTCCCAGTTTCTCAATAGTGGCAGGTCAACATCTTAACTGCTTGGATGTCCGACCTTCGTCATTTTCACATTATTTGTTTACATAACATAGAATTCATTGAACCAAATATAATTATAGTAAAATACTTAGGATTTGTTGTAGAGTTTGATATTATTATTAATTTGTCTTTTTGTTATAGTTATCAAGAGATAGACAAGAAAGTAGACCAGTTTGGCATCTCAGTTCTTTGACTAAAGTACTTCAACAAGAGGAGGAACAGAAACCTAATCCTGTACTTCAGAGAGTTAAAGTTATAATGGTAAGAAAATTATTGTAAAAAATAAACTCTTATCATTTTTATGTGAGCAAAAGATTTTATCATGCTCGCTGTTCCAAATGAGATAATTAATGCTTAAAACTAAATGTTAGTATTAAATAAACACAAAGATAGAAATCTGATTTTAAATACATTTTTTATAAAATTTGGCAAGTTTTAAATTTTAATAAGTATTAGTTGTTTTCAGGGCTGTGGAGTCGGAGTTGGAGTCGTGGAGTTTTGGTGCTTTAGCATGAGTCAAAGTCATCAAAAAATCTGCCGACTCTGACTCCTTTTTACTTCCCGACTTGTAATATATATAAAATGGAAAAGTATTGGAATCGTGTCAAATTTGACCCTCCAAGTTTCTTTTGCAAATCTACATGTTTGGAGACCTCTTGAACCCCTCAAAAAAGTCAATAAAAGGGGAAAAATTTGTGCCCGTGTGTGTTGGCGTCTAATTTGTTTAATTTCTTTATTTTCTGTTCTGAGATATTAAATAATATCTCAGAATGGGTAAAGTTTAAGAAACAAAATATGGCACCTCTCTCATAACTGTTCTACATCTTGTAGCAATACCACCTTCAAACTCCAGCTTACTACTGTTATGGTATGTAGATTTAACTTATTTTGTAAAACAATCATCATATTATCTCACTAATTTTTAATACTGTTCATAATAGTATCCCTCACGTCAAGCTACCATTTAACATAATGAAGCCACCTTAAGCCTGTTCCTCTACACCCAATTATTACTCAATAATCATACTTTTATAACGGTTTCTTTGTCTTGTATAATTCTAAGTATCTCACCTTTTTTATATATGTATACCAACTGAAGAGGGACTATTCCGATAGTCCGAAATGCATTTTGGTTATTTCATGTCAATTATTAATTTAATAGTTTGTAATGTACACCCATTCTCGTTTTATTAAATGTATCCCATTGATATTTTGAGTGTTTGTGCTTATTATCACTGGTGTGATAAGTCCTTATTCCTACCTCACAGTAGTAGGTTTTTAATCAATATTTTACTCGTTATTAGCGTTCAAAATTTAAAAAAAACTAAAACTCATCTCTACCCTCAAAGTAAGCTTTTTTTTTGGCATTTTATAATAGTAGAGTAAAACCCGTTAAGATGTTCTCGCCTAAGATGTTAGAATGTGCATGGGGACACGATTTAGTTCAACCACTTTGATGCTTAATAACTAACTTCTGTGTTAAACCATCTGACTCCGATTCTGTCCACTCTGACCACAGAAATTATTAGGCTTCAAACAGGGTGAACAAAAATCATGCCCCCCACACACAGTCTAACATCCACACATATAGAAAAAAACCCTTGAATCTTTTGCATATCTCGAAATTTCAAGGTGTCCTGAATCCAAAAATGTAAAAATTTGGAAGGGGTTATTTTTTGACCCAGCGCTACACTTTTCCTCTGTTAAATATAACAGCCGAAAAAGTAAAAATTATCGAATACATATTTATATATTACTTAGAGTCTTATAGCTTTGGAATAAAAAGTTTCTATGTTCTATCATTATTAGAAGTCTATTTATTGAATCTTTTATTTTGAGGTCACGTGATGACATCAGAATTTCCGGGTCTCTTTCAGTAACAAGTTCGCTCCTGGTCAGAGTCGGATGGTAAGGAAAAGTCTTAGTTGGAGTAGGTAGATTTTTACGCAACTCCACAGCCCTGGTTGTTTTTTTGGAGGTGAATTGTACTTATCCTTGTGTTTTGATACACATTTATTTTAAAAAATTGTTTGAATGATTATTGAATGATTTGAACTGAACATTAAAAAATATTTAATATTTTTTAATGTTTTAATTAATAAACTTTTATGCATTTTGTAAATTTTATATTTTACTCTTAAATTTTTAACTATTTACAAGGATTTTATTATTTCAATGTCTTTTGTTATTTACATTTTTATGGGAAAATTATTTGTTTTGTTGGTGATAGTTATTGCATGCTATATAGCATTACCTTGCAAATGTAAATAAATAAATGAAATATTAGAACAAAATTATTATGATTTAAATATTAAAATTTGAATATGATCATATTGATGTAATTACCTTTCAATAGTTAAAGACTTTTATTATATTCCAGGTATAAACAACCTTTCTGTAGTAAAAATTAACATGACACTGTTTTGATAAGAGATTTGGCTAAAACATTAAAGACATTGAGTGTTATGGAAATTTTATGTAAAAGTGGATTATGTAAGATTATGATGTGAGCAACAAATTATAATTTTTCTTTAACCTGTTCTGTGTTATTCCTGACATATCTGAGGGTTATGACCTCTGACCTCGACCGGTTGACCCGAGATATCTTGTTTTAGCATCAGATTGTTTTTGAAACTAGATGTAAAGAAAATATATTTTTTTGGTTATTACATTTATATTATATCTATTTTGTTTGTACAGAATAAAAATATAATTTTAGCTGATACAATAGCCACAATTAATCTTTTCAAACATGTGTAATTTTCATTAGGCTTAACATTGACAAAAATTCAACATGGCATCACACACAATGGAGAAAACTTTGAACATTGGTTAGATTAAAACTGTAGATCTAAAGTTTTTCACTTGGCTGACTTATTCTTCATAAGCTGGCTGAGAGCCACAGAAGACCATAGGTACTAAGCCATATCTGTGCTTTATGTGACATCTAAATTAATTAATAGTTACAGAAGTGTAGATTGGACAGAAGTCCTGATAGCATAAGTGGAATTTATGGGTTAGAGTCCCACTCCACTGTAGGCCAATTCTTTTCTTCCACAATATTCTAAATTTAAAACAATTATTTATTATGATATTGCCACAATGCTGGGCTGCAATTTTTAATCATATCTTTAATAATTTTTTAATTTAAAATATATACTCTCCACCTCAAATAAAAGTGTCTTGCCCTTATGGGAAAGATGGCCATGTTCTTAGTGGCCAAAAATTGGCCGACAAGCAGGGATATGTGACATGTTGTGATGCAGTACTTAGCTCTTCTTTTCCCACAGCTCAGTTCTTTTCTGGCCCACATCTTCTCTCAAACACCTTAAAACTTCTATGTAGAACTCCTCGTTAACAGTGTCCGACCTTGTGGCATAAACTCATAATGGATTATACCTCTATAGTAACAAAATAATTAACATCAATCATCCTGATCTTGAATCTTCCTCAATCAATATTCTGCACAATTTATAAACCACTCATGACACTACGAACAACTCAGTCTTCTTAGGCCTTCCAAATTGAAGCCCATGTTTCAGTAAAAGTTTTGCTGGTCTTAAAACAAAATTTCACCCAAACATGTTACTCCTTAGGCTTTTATCTTCACTTCATAGAGTGGTCACTGCACATGTTTACTTTGACAACTCTAGATTGTCAGTCAATCAGAGTACTACAATGTGTTAAGTGGCATTATGTTGCAAAAGTTTTTGGCCACGTGGCACCACTTGCCAGAGTTTGATAAGTTTGATGGTTTATGTACTAAGACAAAGGTCCAGTCATCAGACCTCATATATACAGTATAACCTCTGAATGGTGGACACAATTGGGACCGAGAAGTTTGTATGCTATTTAGAGGTTTCCACTATTGGGAGGTACCGTAGATGTTGGCAGCCATACAGTATTTTAATGCAGTCATTATACAGTAAAGAATACGATGGATTATGAAAACATCAAATTTGCATAAGGAATGTTAAAATACTGAAAAGTATACATAGCATATGTAATTAAAATGTATATACAGTATGTTATTTATCTTTTCAGCTGTAAAAATCACATTTTAATTGAATTCTAAATAGTGAACAGCATACTTTAAGTGGAACATAAATGTTGATTAATTATTAATTCATCAAAAACAACCCGAGCTGAAGTAATGAAAAAATATGAAACTATTGTTATGAACAAGAAGGGTGGACAAATTAGGTGGTGAGAATTTGTTTATTTACGAAGGCGATTTGATTCTCTGCTGGTATACATGATATGATAAAAACAGTCATTCTAATTACCTTACGCCTTTATAGATATTGAATGTTTAAGTAAATGATTTTTTTTTTCCAGTCTGCTGGTTTAGTAATCGTGCATGCTCATAGCAGGTGGACTGTAACTATAGACACTGGAGCGGGTTTTGAATCACCTTCTTCATTATCTACGTCGTCAGAGAAAGATGTAAATTCGTTTCAGGATTTATCAAGCTGGTGTTTCTTTTTTTACAGGTACTTTTTTTTAAAATTTGCACTGTTTTAAAGATCTTTAATCATTATTTATGTGTTTCATGATTATTGCATTTATTTAATATTTTCCTTATATTTATTACAATAAATTTTTTGTTTTTGATTCTGTTCTAATTTAAAGTGTTAAATAAAGTGACTGAATTATATGCAATGATGTAACTAGAAATTTTAGTCTTCTTAACAAAATATACTAAAGGGGTTTTTGATGCTTTGGGCCTAGTCCTTCTACATTTATGATGGTATAGGAAGTTTACTTAATTTAGGAAAGTTACCAATTTTAAAATGTCAAACTGTAACAAAATATTATCCAGTAGGTAATTACATTGAAACTTTCTTCTGTTGTAAATAAATTTAAAATCAAACAAAAAAAGGAAAAACATTTCAAAGGTAATCAAGAAAAGATCTATAACCAAAATATAAATTATTAGTTATAACAAAAAGTAAGAAAGATAATAAAAATTATAAATTTGCAAAAACAAAAACACAAATAAATTACAAAAATAATCGCAGCAGTTGCATAAGATTACAGCCAATATTTTGATTAAATAATTAGATTAATAGATAAATAATAAATATATGTTCCACATCCACCAAATTAAAATTTCAAAAATATTTTCTACTATTTCAACCTCAAAAATTTTAATTAACTCTATTCTATCTAATTTTTCAGCTTCTTCTTCAATTGCAATTAAAGATAGATAATACAAATGTGTGTGGTATATTAAATTTCATAAGTAGTTTTAATAATTTTTAAGTTACTAAAAGACATTTCTATTGTTGCCACCATCATTAGCAAAGTTAAATATAAAAGTCCAGGAAAATTGCACAATAAATTATTCAATTTTATGATTAATAATTTGGCAAATTTTCATTGGCAAAATTGTTTTTATTGTATGTATTTGCAATTTCATAAAACTATTTTTCACAATTTGTAAAAGTTGAAATGAATTTTTAAAAAGATACCACAAAGATGGATGAGATTACAATAAAAGCACACATCAATATCTGTAAACCAGTTAAAAGGAACCAATTTATTATAACAAACATTTTCAAATGTCTTTAGCATCATCATCAGGTTACAGTCTTACATAAAACAAAATTTAAATAAAATGGATTTCTTTAAATTCATGATGGTGGTTGCATACGTGGAAGAATGGTAAAGAAAAATTAAAATAAATTATGAAACAGTGAAACAAGAGTTAAATAAAGTACATATAAATAAAAGTAATAAATATTAAAAAAAAATAAAAATAGCTTTTCAAGCATGCAATATTGAAGATGTGTCCTTAAAATTAATTGTGAAATCTTTCTTAATCACTTTGTAAATTTGAAGGTTTGAGATACTTGAGCTGTGCAGGAACAGACATGCTATGTGTGAGATGTGTATTATCAAAAGCCAGTTGGATGTCATTGTCGTAAGCAAAGGCTGCAAGGGCAGTCGTGCACAAACTGTGTGGTAATTAATGTTCCTTGAGTCTAATATTCAGTTTCCTGCAGTAAACTCCAATGTACGGTACTCATATTGTTGATTTACCTTATTATCAAAAATAGGAATCGTGTAAATGCCAGTTCGTAAATGCCAGTTCGTAAAGATTGATTGTGTGTCTTTTTATCAGTCAACAAGTAAAAAACTGCTGAACTTCTCTTAAATGCAATACTAATGTTGGCTAACCATAGAGAACCCTGTTAAAAGTAATGGTCTTTTATTTTTGGAATAAAATATTCTTCGACATAAATTATGCTTTTTAAATCATAACATGTGTTTTGATTATCCAATATAACCAAAAAATTATAACAAAATAAAATACATTTAAATATAAAAAAGAAAATAGAATACAATTAAAAATAAAGTAAAAATAATAATGAAATGAAAATCAAGAGTTTGATAAGTTTGATGGTTTATGTACTAAGACAAAGGTCCAGTCATCAGACCTCATATATACAGTATAACCTCTGAATGGTGGACACAATTGGGANATTAATCAAATAAGATTATTTTAATCAAAAAAGTGTGTTCAAATATTTAGTACTTAAGAAAATTTCTTATACAGTGTAGATAAAAAGTCCCTTGCCAAATAGGGAAGGAGATTGCAAATTACAGTTGGAAGACACTAAGTGACTTTAATGACATTTAATGCAGTCTGTATGACAATCAGGTTGAGACTAGTGTGAGTATGGAGTGTTGTACACCACAATACTCATTAACACTGATGTTCAAACATTGTTCAAGTACTCAAATACAATGTTATACATGATCACTTGTCACCACTGCATGGGTTTGCATGTGGAATGTTATAAAGAATGGTACAGAGCAGTGGCATGCTGTGACATTTGATGATAGGGAAGCTGTGTTTCTGTAAGAAGCCAACTTCCAGGGGCAATCAGTTAATTGTGCGTGATGGTGTAGGGTCCATTCATATTCGTTTGTTTGATAAGCCAGTAAAAACCATAAACTTCTAAATGTATTTTTCATATCGCAATTACATTCTGAATTGCTAGCAAAGATATAAGGGCTACAATTAAAAATAAAGTAAAAATAATAATGAAATGAAAATAATCTTACTGGCTATGACAACACCATGGTTTTTATGTGATGTGTTTGTTACCCTCCTTTTTTAGGGGTTATTGAATAATGTTCATCATACAAAGGATAGTTTCCTTATAAGACACATGCTCAAATCTTGGCTGCTTAAAAATTCAGTTGGTGTTTTGTATTTGATTTGGTATCGTGTTCTTTAAGCTTATGTAACTTAAAAGTGTCCAATTCATACAGATGAAAACATTTGTTATATTAAATATTTTTGGTGTTTGTTTAACTGATTTGGTGTACTGGTTATTGTTAGATGATATATACCCATTCTTGAGGTGTTCATTATGTTTGTTCTTATAATAAAGTGGTTCCTTTTAACTGGATTACAGGTATTAGTGTGTACTTTTATTGAACAATTTTTATTCTTAATCTTATATATTTTTTGTAGATTATCTGTACATTTTAGGATTTTATTACTAAATATTAAGAACTCATCTGCATTTAGAAAGTAAAAATTGTCAATAAGTTTTTGCATTGTATTAAATCTTCTTATAATTTGTACAATATAAAAATCTGAAATTTTGGAAGACACGTGTATTCTAAAATTACCTTTGGCTTTTAAACTTGGTGTTTATTTCTAATGCATAATGATTTATTTTAACAAATTTATACTAAAGTAAACCTTGTGATTTCCTTAGATTACAAAAATGTTATTGGCAATAGTGCTCAATAGGAAAAAGCATCAATTTAACAGACTGATATAATTGTTAACACTGATTTTTGTCCTTAACATTAACTAAACAATGACTATACATGATATTTTTCAAATTATATTTATATGTTTTGTGGTATAGAGGTATATATATGAATGATTTCTATATTAGTGTGTATTAATTTAAAATTATGATGATTTTTTTAATATAGATGGTTATCTGTCAGTCCTGAACAAATGGTTATGGTAATAATTGCTGGTGCCTTAGCTGTGAAATATGTATTTTTTGAAAATCACGAATTATTAGAACATCTTTCGTCATCGGCAGTAACTTCGTCAAATAGGAATATTCGAAACCAAAACAACCAAACAATGTTTTCAATAAATGACTATCCTTCAAAATTAGAATATCAACCATTTTCTCCCATTCGAAAAGGTAATTCTTAGTATAAGTTAATGTAGTTTTGAAACATGTTTATTGGTAAATAATTTCATAACCATACATTTTTAATGCATTAACTATTAATTTAACAGATAAATAATAACTAGTTATTAAAATGCCTATTGAAATCAGTTATATTTACAATTCTTTCTTTGATGAAAAAGTATTTAATTGAAAAGCGATATTTTTATTCAAAAAGTATTATTGTTTTGATGAGGATCAAATTTACTGTAATTTTATAAAATCCTAAAAGTGATTTTTTTAAAATAAAACAATACAACTTTTAATAATTATAATGAAAGAAAGATGATAAAAGTGGCAAAGCATTGTGAAATAAAATATGCTTGAATGTGAAGATACTTATTTAAAAAAATTGTTAAATTGATTGCAGACAAAAAATAGATAAACTGTCATATTTGTTCTAAATAACAGACAAATTATTATAATAATTTATAGTATTGAATATATTATAAAATTTTATGAGTAATTTATATTTGTCAAAATTTTTTTAGACTTTAATAGGCTAGTAAATATACAACTACTAGACGTCTAACTGTGAATTCCAGCATATAATGAACAAAGAATGTTTAATGTTCTAGTAAATAAGTGCAACTTCAGAATTAAATTAAAAAGTTTAGAATAAATCCATGTTTTGGACACATTGATTATGAATGATAGTTCCAGATTAATTACAAAACAAAAGGAAAAGTCAGCACAAGTTCTCATGCATATTCTGAATTGTTCCAATAATCTGTTTCATTATAAGATCGGCTTTATGAAAAATGCATTTATATATTTATTCTTTATTGAATGAAAGAAAATGAAACAGAAGGAATAACTAAAATAAATCAAATAGCAAAACCTTCATTTTTTGAAAAAAATCACATTTCTAAATAAAAATATAATTTAACATATTTTCAGCCATCCCATGTTGTTAATTAAAGTATACAAAGGTTATAATATCAATGAAACATTGCTCTGGCTGTTGGAAAATTATGAATTTACTTTAATGTTTTTGATGTGAATTTTAGTGTTATTTTTTATTCTAAACTCTATCCAAAACTTAAGAAATCTATTTAAATTTGTATTTTACACCCTTTGTATTTGTTTTAAGTCCTAGCAAACGGCTATGTAAGAAAAATATCAACCACAAAATGACCAAAAATATTTGTAAATAAAAATGATTTTTTTAAAAAAAAAATTTAAAAATTCAGTTGTAAAACAAAACTATTGAAACCTCACATTTTTTTTCTTTCCCAATAATGGAGAAAATAAGTTGGATGACCAATTTATCAGAAGCCCTAGGAGGGATTAAGAAAAATTTAATCCAAAATGTATTGCAGTTTATAAATGAAAAAAATAAAATAGCTGTGTTTTAAAAAATCTTGGTCTCTGATTTAATATGGATATTGGAAAAGAAAAAAGATGTGAGGTATCTGTGAGAAGCCAAGGGCATAGAATTGTTCTATGTCACTTACTGACACACAATCGTTAGATTGGCTCACTTTATTTGGGAGGGCTTTAAAGAAATTGTTAAAGATCTGGATGGTTAGGTCTAGATCCATGTCAGATTGTTGACACCAGATAGTGAATTTTGCGGACTATCACGCGATTACTTCTAATTATTTTTATGGAGAAGGTGCGTTAAAATTGAGAGAAGGGAATCTCCTTTTGATTCAGTCAAGAATGAGGCCATTTTTTAAAGGATATAACAAGAAATATTTAATAAACAAAATAAAGTCACTTAGATTTTAAAAATACGTGAGCCGTTCACAGCCCGGCACACATATTTGTAAAATCTAAGTGACTCGTACAACATGGAATTCATATAAAACGGAATTATCAACAGTGTTATAGAGGGGTCGACTGTACAAGAAATTTGAAAAAAACACGAGACCAGGAAAAAATACACAGAATATGGAAACAAGAAAAATATATACATAACCACTTCATAAACCCAATTTTTGTAAATATCAAAACTAGAAATTTCCGTGTCAAGCATGATGGAATACTTTTTATAAGAAAGTAGAGATTTTAAAGAAATTTAAGAAGAGATGATAGTATAAACTACTAAATTTGTAGAAATATTATCTGTTGTAACATAAAGAGCAGCAAAACAAAATTTTGGCTGGAATATTACAAAAAAATAGGTGTTATAGAGAACACACAAATTAATTTAGGTTTTTATATTAAAAAAATATTAAAATCTTGCTTTTTTACATTACTTTCTGAATAAACGTGCAATTGTCTTTTAAAAAATTTCCTTGCTGTCTTCCTTTAGTAATACAGTAGAGCATCGATTATCCGACCCCCGATTAATTGTCACATCGGTTAACCGACTGTTCTAGTTGGCAAATTTCAAATGTCTGCTAGTGATGTGGCACTACAATATTTAGCTATGTCTTGGCTACTTCAATATTATTTTTGTTAAATTTTTGCGTGTTTTAGCTGACATCAACGGCTCGACCATTGAAGAGAGACCAATATTTAAACGAGACTTAATTTTCTAATTATGAGTGGTTGTTTGTTTCGTGAACAATAAAATAATTTAAAAATAATTTTTAACGATACAATAGCGACGATTACTATTTTTAAAAAAATTTGTTAGGCTAAACATCGACGAAAATTCAACGCGAAGTTGGTTAATAGCGATATACTAATAAACTAATTACATGGGATATACTAATATCCTAATATACTATACTAATAATGTATATTTTCCCTTCTTTTCGGTTATCTGATTTTTTCAGTTATCCGATCAACCTGAGTCTCCAATTGAGTCGGATAATCGATGCTCTACTGTAGTAGGGTTACCATATGTCCATACTTTAAAGAATCTGTCCATGTCCATATTGTACTTAGAGAAAATAAACAAAATGTACATACTTTTCAACCAATGGTGCAGTTATTAGTTAAATCATAACCACTTAGATTTAAATCTGACAAAAGGTGCTAAATTTTTGATGATTACTATTGCATTTGTTGGCTACATGGCAACATTTTATTGTATTTTTGTGGAATGACTGGTATGCTGCATAAAAATGGGGGAGACCAGCATTCCAGAAGCCCTGAGGTTACTGGCATGCTGGTTAAACTGCAACTAAAATATAAAATTGATCAGATCTAACAAAACTAGTTGTTAATTAAATGTTAAAGAAAACATTTTTTTGAGTACTATAAAATAATAATATTGTAATTTGACCAACTTAAAATCAAGAAGAGAGTTTTTGTTTACAGGACAACAATTAAAATGACTTATTGACAGTAGTAATAGTATTAGTTAGTTAGTGTAAATTACACTGATTATCCACTCCAACCTTAAAAATAACACCTTCCTTTCAGATCTCACACAAAACAGATGTTAATTGGTGTAAGCTGAGATAATTTACAGCTGCTTTAATTTAATATGTTTATTTTTGTATTTTTGAATCAAATAACAATAAAATACACATTAAAAAAAAGCACTTTTGGAATTCCAAGAGTGTTTTACATTGTTAGAAAGAAGACAAAATGAAGAAATTAAACCCATAATCATGATTTTCAATGTAATGCAGACAGTTTTACAATTTTAGAATAAAAACACTTATTTTTTTTATGCAACGTAAAATGTTAATTTTTTTGAATGCACCCTCTAGAGATGAATGTATACATTCACTTGAACCAGCATGCTGGTTTTTACCATATGGAAATATTTTATTTCCTGGTCTTTCCTGGATAGAACTGCAAGCTGGTCATTTTGCAAAACTACAGTACAAGCAAACAACTACTCTATCTATTAGAGAACATGTGCATGTTCTTAATGGTTTTTTTAATTCAATAGTACTTGTTGTCTAAGTTGTAAATAGTTTTCTTATATTTAAAATTGCATTCTCTGCTTCTAAGGAAAGTGAAATTGAAACTTTATATTATATGCATACATTTACTAAATTGAAAAATATGAATAAATTCCATTTATTTTGCCTCGCCGTCTGAGTACTTTTAATGTTAATATGTTTGTATTTTGCCTTCAACTGTTACGGTAACCCTAGTAATTTTCGCTATAGAACAGGTGAGTTATTCCGGTAACTATTTTTGAAATCAGCTAATTTTTGTTCTGCTTCATTAGTTGAAACTTTCAAACTTTGGAATTGAGGTGCACTTGCTCCACTCATCTTTAGCTCTTTAAAATATATTTCCTATATTGAGATATTCATCATCATTATTATTTTTTTGTATTGTTTGGAACAATGCAAAAAATTATTGTTTGCTATTTTTTTTGTTAGTAGAAAATTAATTTGGTACAGCTTAAATTTTATTTAGTAATTTATAAAAGGTATTGTGGCATATGATTCTGTAATTTTTGATAATTTTGTATTTGAATTTAATTCTTATTAATTACTAGTAAAATATTTAATGAGTTAGGTTAATTAGTTTTGAGAATTTAAAAATGATGATAGGCATATATACAGTCAACTTGTGTTAATACAAATCTCTAGGGGAACAGTAGTTAGTTCACTTTATCAAAAATTTGCATTCAGTTTTCAGGGTTAAGGTCAAAGTTGTATAATTTACAGAGTTAAGGACTAACAGGCAATTGAAATCTCTAAATTATTTAGTAAATTAATTTACTAAATAAAGTTAAATAAAAATTAATTTATTTACAAAAATAAGCGAATGATCTAAATGATTTTCAATTATGATGATTTTCATTTTAAAATGATTGTTTTAAAAATGATTTTAAAATGATGTTTAAATGATTAAACAAAATGAGGAGGGGACAGTATTTAACATTTTAAGTGTAAAGCAGTATACCAGAGTGGCTAAACAAAGGACAGTATTTAACATTTTAAGTGTAAAGCAGTATACCAGAGTGGCTAAACAAAACAAAGCTAAAATAGAACCATGATTTTTTTTTGTTGAAGATTTGGCTCCTTTTTTGACACCAGAAGGTTAAAAAGCAGCCAAATTTGGCATCACTGTACGTACCCCACTGATATGCAAACTAGCATGTATTTTCGTGGGACCACTTCCATTTAAAGGG